AATACTGGGGTCGGGAGACCCTCTTTTTTCTGGGACATTGTTAAAGGAATAATGTACTATAAAACTGTTAACCTCCACAGGATAAATAGAAATATTAATGATTAAAAACTGTCTAATGATTAAAAAATTAGTGTTACTATTGTTAATAAAGTCAATAATAAAGGTGATAAAATAAAACTCGTTCAAATAGCAGGATTGTTTTCAACAGCGAATTCTTTATTTCCTAGTAAACTTACTTCGATGACATGGAAAAACATTGAGTAGGGGAAAATAGATTACTTATCCCTGTACAAAAGCGATGTTGATTGTAATATCCGGTTAATTGTACCATTTCACTATAATGCGGGTACTCTTATTGCTGAACCGATTATTGGATTGATCATTTTACATCATTTGTTTTATATATATATATATATATATATATATATATATATATATTTTTTTTTTTATCTTTTATTGTTTATAACTACAAAGATCTTGGCAAATAGACATATCACTCAAAGTACATGTTGAAAAAAAAATTATATACGTTATACTAACTTCATCGAATCTAGGATATTTTTTAAACTTTTTAACGAGCACAATAAATTTATAAATCGCATACCTCACATATCATAGACTTCATACATGGAATTAATCAAATTATTCGGTATTGTTAATTTCTATAAAGTCTTTCAGAAACTTCAAACTGAAACACAATTTTCGATTAGCAAGGTCTGATTCTTCTAGAGGCATACCTGGGCTATGGACGAGTGTAATTTTAAATAAACACAAAATAAAAAGTTTTTTTTTAAATAGTTGGTTATTAAATAATAACAAAATAATTAGTAAAAAAACCTGAAAAACGCATGATTTGTGTAATATTTAATATTAAATTGTTTTTCAAACTATAACCATAAAGCTTAATTTTTTTTTAGAAATTATCACTTATCTACATATATATACAACACATTACTTCATTATAATGATTACATGGTTATGGTTATAATTACCTTACACGTGTTATAATATAATATTTTTGAGATTACTTTAGTAGACAGAAATCTATTTTATACATCAGGAAAAATCATCTAAAAAACCTACATAAGATTTAAAATAAAAAACTAAGTTACTGTCATTAAGTATATGTGCAGGGTACATCAGTATCAGTGGAATATAGTCCAGGACATGAGTTCCCAAACTTTTAGGCATATGGTGTAAGCACAAAAAATCTGATAACATGGTGGATGTTTAAGGGTTTCTTGGGTAATTCTCTGTGATTATCATGAATTTCTTTTGAGTCGCTTGAAGTTTTCTATAGGTACTATCATCGGCGGATCTACGGGGAGAATAGGGGAGGCGGATTTCGGCTGAGCCTCCATCCCCAAAAGTGATAAAATATGACCCTGCCTTATGAAAAAAAATATTAAGAAATTATTTCTGAAAGCAATATTGTTTGTGTATTTAATAGGACTTCAAGAGCCACTTCAACATCATTTTATATAGGTAATTTCTTTATTTTTCTTCCAAACTAATTATCTCAAATATATATATATAAAAGGGCTGACGCCCCCTCAAAATTAAATCCTAGATCCGCTATTGGTAACAATCACATGTATAACTGGGGCAGAGCACCAGCGGATCCAGGATTTAATTTTGGGAGGGGGGGGGGGCTTCAGCCCGGAAGCTTTTTTTTTCATATATATAACGATAATTACTTTGGGAAAACAGAATGATACTAACTACCTATAAGAAATGGTGTTTAAGTCCTATTAAATGTAATTAAACGAGCAATAATACTTTAAAACGTAATTTTTAATAGTTTTTACCATAAAACATGGTTACATTTTACCATTTTGGGGAGTGGGGGAGGCTTCAGCGCTAAAGCCCCCCTCCCCGTAAATCCGCCTGCGGGGCAGAGTAAGCGATATATGAAATAAGATGAACAAGTGGAAGCTTTCTACAAATTGGGAGTATCTGTTGAAATATGGGTACATAAACTTAAACTTTAAACAATAATTTCACTATTATAAATAACCAAAATTAGATATAAGTTATAAATATATATATATTTGACTAGCACGTGGTGGCCACACTCAGTGGGTCATCGCTTTTCAACCATTTTTTTTTTTTTTTTTTTTTTTTATTGTTTCTACATTAAACAATATTGGAGAAGTTTCCATTATTTTCTATAGAAAAATATTATTGCTTACACTCGGATGAATTACTCGGAGAAGATAAATACATTAAAAAATAGAATATTTATTTATTGCTATCATATGGAATTAGTATTCTTATTTAAGATTCTCTACGATAATAAAAAATTAGTGTGAAAATTTTTTTTTCATTTTGCCTCTTTCCTTAAAAGCGGTTTGTTTAGTAGCAGTTTTAATACAAAACTAGTAGGCCCGTGAGCAAAATTCGCACAGCATATTGTTTTCAAATGTCAAATTAATAATAAAGTAAAATAATGCAACATATCAAAAGATAAAGAAATCAATTGTTACTTTATCGATAAATATAATCGACAAAGGAAACAAAAATTAATTTAAATCTTCATTAATGTTTAGAACCAATATGTTTACAAATTTCAATCTTTGCTAAAAATCATAGGATTTCGATAATTTTTTTCCTTTTGTAGAGAATTTAGTAATCTTTTATATAATCATTGGCACAACCGAGGGAAAAATGTGTACTTTTTTAGTTATTCGCAAATAAAGTTGGTTTTCTTTCATAACTTGTTTGCCTGAATTTTCGGGGTGATTGGACTATTTTGCCCTCCTGATGGAGAAGGAAGCCTTCGAAACTGGTGGCTCAATCTTGAGATTTGGTGAAGAATTAACGATGATATGGCTTGCCGATCAAAAACACCATCGATAAATAATATAAACTCCTCCTTTCTCGATGATAGAGGCCTCATGTCGACGAAATGAGACATGTATTCAATGACAGTAATACAATTAACGTAAGGTTGTGTGGATGCGAACCCTATGCCTTGCGTTATCTCCAAAATAGTACGTTTTGGGGCTTAAAACGCGGGATCCGATAGTTCCGAGGGAACTATCCGGGTCTTGCTGTACGCATCAAAATCTTCAAGGTCCTATTTGTCCCGTATCAATCTAAAGACCTACCACCGTTCCAGTATTGAAGCCTAACAATATGTTTGTATCGACTTTATTTATTTCAGAAAGAAAAACAAAAGGGGAGAGTACGATTCGCTAACCCCCCGTGAAATTCTGAATCCAACGGTACACCATTCATGGTATTTGAGCATGACAGGAGCTTATATTTGGTACAAAACCGATTTCGAGCCTTACTGTAATAATATATAAATTCTATAAATTCGATTTTTTAAAAGTTTATTATGAATATTTGACAGATAATCTCGAATACCTGCGACTCCAAGATGATTCATGCATTATAATTTTATAATGAAAAATTTACCGGAGACGATTCGGCGAGCATAGCTAAGTCTGAGTAGGAGGGTTAGTTGTGCTCGTTAACGTCGAGTCTAAGCTATTACCCAATTGACCAGGATTGGACCAACCATCGCTTGTGGCGTTTCTTAGTCTTTGCTTTGTTTAACTTCACCTGTACATTTCTGGTTTATTTATTTATAAAAAAACATCGTTCTGCATCTATATATGTTCGCTGAGAGATTCTTGAATACATGTGAAAATCATAATTGTAGCATTTGTTTTTTAAGCTGATATGTCAGTTAAAAAGATTTATGAACAATTTTTAGGCAGTTATAAAAATAAAAAAATTCAAGGAATCGAATGTTCACACTTACTCAATCCGATTAAGCTGGCAAAAAGATTAAGTATCTAAATATTTAAACCACAACCTCCGTCAGATCTCAATGTACGATCGCATTGAATTAGTTTACGGCACTTGCGGATCCAGGATTTAATTTTGGGAGGGGCTTCATCCCGAAAGATTTTTTTTTTCTACTCTATACGTAACGATACTTAATTTGGAAAAAAAGAAAGATACTAACAACATATATAAAATGGTGTTCAATGTTTTTTGAAGTCCTATTAAATGCAATTATACGAACAATTATACTTTAAGTGATAATTTTTTAATGTTTTACCATTAACAGAGTTACATTTTACCATTTTTTTTTTGAGGGGGCTTCAGCCGGAAAGCCTAGTGGTGTTTCCTTGGTGGATACACAGTGTTGGTTCAATCTGCAAAAACATGCTTTGTGTAGGCATGAACTTATTAATAAATGTTTAATAAATGTATGTACTTATTAATTAATAAATGTTGGCATGAACTACGCTACTATCTTGCGGCAGTTTGCGGACCCTAGTTCACAACACTCGTGCGGTTAGGTTTTATTTATTTCCATTGTTTTTTTCAAAATTCTTGTTTTCATGAAATTTTCGCTTCTGCCACAAGGTAGCAGCGCGGTACATGCCTACACAAAGCACGTTTTTGCAGACTGAACCAACACAGTGTATCCACCACGGAATCACCACAAACTAAATTTTACCCGCTATCGCATAGTTACCCCGCCTTACGGTATCTCTTTCTTAATTATAATCCATGTATTTCAGAGACTAAATATAAAAAACACATGTCAAGAAAAATTATAAGAATTTTATCCCTAATTATTGTTCCTGTAATTACCGTGATTAAAAAAAAATTTTAGTCTCTTCCTAAAGAACTGAATCCACTGCTGAGTACTGTTAAATATAAAACTATACTCCAGTTACCCTTATAAAGTTTATAACAATAAACACTGGAGAAATTATTCTGCAATGAAGGAATTATTATTTAAAATCAAGTTAAGGTGTTTCTTTTGTTTAGTTATTGAATCACTAATCATTATAGGGTATGAATTTCATTGTGTTGTGAATCCTATTAACCATTCTCATTATTTTTATAAATGGTATCATTGTATATTTACATTTGACATTTTATATTTTTTTGTCATATGTCAGTCAATTTTTTATTTAAATTATTCTAATATTTATTTTTAATTCATGTTTCCATAAAATATTTTGTTACAGGAAGATGCTTTTCAAAGTGAGCATCCTTCTTCTACCTGTCGTGATAGGTACTGCTATAGAACATTTAGAACGTCACATTGCACTTACAAGTAAATATTTAATTACTATTTATATAATAGTAACAATTTTAAGTCATTTTAGGGGCAAATAAATCTTTAATTGGTAGAAGATAAAATCTTTCAACATTATTTATATTCTTAATAAACACTACCTACTTGTTTTTCAATTTAAATCTTATACCACTGAAAGTATTTTCATAATACTAAGAATTATGATAGGATCTCTAAATTTTATGATTTTTTGTCTAATATTTGTATTGATACCTAACTATTTTGTATTTTTTTTTTTTATTTATTTATTCAGAAATATAATAATCTGTCACGCGGACTATAATTATAGAGAGATATGAACACATTCACACCGTATATACAGAAAACATAAAAACCGTAAGTAAATGAAAAACATAAAAACACATCATACCTACATACAATATATACAATCAGGCTTGTCCCTCCAACTATAGAGAGAAAAGCAGGACTTCATGAGATCCTGCGCTACTCTATAAACCGCGTCACTGGTGCTAAAGCCAGTGGAGATTGAACGAGAGCGTTTTAGCCACATACACTCATGGCTTGAGTGGAGAATCAGGCTATAGCCAGAACTCCAAGGTATGTACTACAAAAGATCTCTGGGCCACTGCCACTTCAACCTTCAAGGGATTGTATAAGGGGATTTGGATGATTTGTAAGATTCTGATGGAGTTTGAAAAAAATTTCAGATATAAGGTCTAAGACAAATGGGATATGAAGGTAAGGATGTAGTTACATAGAACGGAGCATCGACTTTGTTCGGAGGAGTTTGGATTGAAAGGATTGGATGGGTTTGATGTTAGAAAAATTTACTGCCCCAAAGTTCAAGTCCGTAGGTCCAGATAGGTTTCAGGATTATCTTGAAAAACAGTAATTTGTTGTAATTTGAAAGTTCAGATTTTCTAGTCAATAGTCTGTATAGTTGGCTGTATCGTCTGTTAAGTTCTTGTCTTTTAAGTCTATTATGTGAGTTCCAGGTTTGTCTCGTTCTAAAAGAAAGTCAAGACACCTAACTGTGTCTAAGAAAGGAAGCTGGATGAAATTAAAGTGAACTGGTGGACAGAAGTTGCGTGGGAGTGTAAAGGTAATATGTTGGCTTTTGGATTCATTCACTTTAATACGCCAGTTATTACCCCAGTGCTCAATCGAGGAGATGTGTCTTTGCAGATTTGAGGATGCTATTTCGGGATCAGAGTTGGTGATAAGATTGGAGTGTCATCAGCGAATGTTGCAAGGAAGCTATCGGGATGAACAGGGATGTCAGCTGTAAAGAGGATACAAAGGACGGAGCCCAAGACGCTACCTTGAGGAACAATGGTTTCAACTGGGTAGGAATTGGAAAATTCTGTACCACAGCGAATTCGAAAGGTGTGATCAGAGAGGTAGGAGCGAAGGACTAGATACAACGACTGGGGTAGATGGGTTTTCAGCTTAGAAAGAAGCCCGGCGTGCTATATCCGGTCGAAAGCTTGAGCTATGTCCAGAAATGCATCCGAGCAATATTGCTTGCTTTCCAGTGCTGCGGAAACATGATCGACCACTCGGAGTCCTTGTTGGACTGTGGAGTGTTGTGAGCGAAATTAGAACATACGGGAAGGAAGATTTTGGGATTCTATAAAGGGTAGGATTCGTTTCAGGAGGATCTTTTCAAAGATTTTTGAGAGGATTGGAAATAGCCTAATTGGTCTGTAGGACGTAGAAGTGTTGAGAGATTTGCCTGGTTTTAAAAATAGGATAATAGTGGAATGTTTCCACAAAAGAGGAAAGTGGGTGGTTCTTAGGATGATATTGTATAAGTAAGTGAGAAATATAACTGCGTTAGGAGAAAATTTTCGGAGGAACTGAGAGATGAGGAGGTCGTATTCAGGAGATTTACGGGAAAGAAGTTTTTGTGAGTGATGTTTGACCTCAGAAGGATTAACTGTTTTAGGGGGTAAGGAAAGTGGAATCTTACCTCCAAGTAGTTCAGTGAATGATACGTTATTATTCACTATTCTAGAAGGTTCTCTTCTTGGTCTGGTTGTCTCATCTTGAATCTGGGTCTTCTGGTATCTGGATTTGAGATTCTTATAAGATTGGCAGGCTTTGAAGTTGGCCGGGTGTCCGTCTAGGCATAGGGCACAAACTGCAGGATCTTGTATTGGTTTGGTGCACTCTGCTGATTTGTGTTCTTCACCACATTTTACGCAACGCGGCAAGTGGTGGCAATAAGTCTTCCTGTGGCCAGATTCTCCACAGAAGACATGAGTGTATGTGGCTAAAGCGCTCTCTTTCTCAAACTCCACTGGCTTTAGCTCCAGTGACGCGGTTGAGAGAGTAGCGCAGGGATCTATTGGAGCCCTGCTTTTCTTTCTATAGTTGGAGGGAGAAGCCTGGCTTGTGGTTCCCTGCCTTATTGTACATATTGTATATAAGTATGACTGTGTTTTTATGTTTTTAATTTACTTATCTTTAGGTTATTTTATTTTTTATTGTACATAGTTTTTGATTATCATTAAGTTATGATTTTACTTTTGTTAATTTTATATTTTCTGTATATATGGTGTGAATGTGTTCATATATCACTATAATTATTGTCCATGTGACAGATTATTATATTTCTTAATAAATAAATTTTTAAAAAATCATTGGTAAATGTTAAAACTTTTACTTTGTTAAATTAATAGATCCAGTTTCTGAGGGTGTTTCATTTATTGGAGAAAAGTTAAATATATCATGTGAATCATCTTGTAATATCTATCATGATTGTGAAAAATCCTTCATTGATTGGTACAAGAATAACACTCAGTTAACATCACAATCGATCTCCCCTCGCATGAAGCTTGCAAATCAATGGTATTTTAACATTTATTTATCAATATGACAGTAATAATTTAAAATATTGCAATAATTAAAATTATTACGATTTTTTTAAGGTTACGAATAATGAACATAAAGAAGGAAGATGAAGGTTTATATGGTTGTTTCTCTATTTCTACTGGAGAATGGAGGAATTTCACTCTAATAGTTGAAGAAAAACTGCTTAAAGTTCCAGGAATGGGCTTAGAAGATGATGATGAAATAAATATGACTGGGGATAACTTGGATGATCCTGATTATGGAAAGCCTTATTTCACCAATTATTCAGTCATGCATAATTATATGGCAAAAATAACTGGTGAAACCTGTACTTTGTCATGCCCGGCATATGGTACATAACATATCCAATGCAAAATATAATTTTAATACATACTGTCTGTATAATTGGTGTTATTATTTACAGGTATTCCTATTCCCGACATTAAGTGGTTTAAAGATGGAAATCAAATGGAAGTAGATTATAACAAATATGTAGAAGAAGATGAACAATGGAGTTTTATTATTCCAAAGATCAGTAGAAAAGATGCTGGAAACTATACTTGTGTGGTAAAAAATCAATATGGAACTATTACTCATACTTCCAATGTTCAAGTTTATGGTAAGTTTTTCAAATATTTAATTACTGAATCATTAAAAGAATAACATTTTTTTAAATGATTAGATTTTTTTTTGCTTTTAAACCTTCAATTTGAACATTATGTTTATAATTATTACATAATTTTGAGGGATGGAAAATCCTTCTTCAGTCCATGTAAATCATTTGTAAATACCCCTTCAGTTCTCCCTCTCAAGGGAATTTTAATACCAACTACCTGGGATTCACTTTGGTTATGTCATGAATATTAAGTATTGACTAATTCAAGTACTGTATTAAGGCAAGGGTTTTATATTAGCAAAGAAAGTGTTTAATCTTTTCATCTTTCTCCAAACAGAGAAAGAGTTCATTATTTTCTTCATTCTCCAAACAGTGAAAGTGTTCATTATTTTCTTCATTGCCCAAGTAAAGAAAGCTGGTAGAATCGTCCATAAAATAAAACTACTTGAATGTTAGTACACAATGCTGTTGATTATTCCAGTTGTTTTCTCAACTCGTTTCTTGTAATGTTAAGGTAAAATTGTTGCTCATTTTCCTTTGGCAAAGAAATAAAAAAAAATTGGACTGATTATAACAAAACTTAAACAAGCAATGTTGAATAAGAAAAATGATCTGGAAGTTGGCACTGAAAAAAATCAAAATGTAATGATTGAAGAAACTGTAATCAATCCATTATATGAAACACTAATATCAGTATCACATGGGTAAAGGTTACAAAATGTTTGAGAACCATTTTTAGTTAACTGAAAAGTGAATTTTTTTTTTTTTAAACAATGATAGGTAACTTTAAAATTTGGAGGGAAATTTTAAAGGAATAGAGAAAATAAACAGTTGGTCAAGAAAGTACACACTTTTTTTTTTTAATAATCCGATTATTACTATATAAATACTTTTAATCAGAAGTCCTGATAGTAATCTTAATGTATGCCAAATTATAATTATTTTTATCACTTTGATATTCTCTATTTTCGTTTGAGAAATTTATTTGATTTGATATTTACTTGGTACAAATGTTTGTGTTTCATTTATTACAGAAAATTTAAAAGAACTACCTCTAGTAATTGAAAGTCCTTCTAATATAACTGTGAACATCGGGGAATCAGCTAATTTTGAATGTAAAGTTGTTGATGATAATGTATCTAAAACAGTGCATTGGCTAAAGCATAGCATCCATCCTTTGCATTTGAACCTCAACAACAACCAACAATTAGAACAGTATTATGTAAGTGTCATGAAAATTATTTCCAACCACATGAAGTTAGGTTTTTTTTTCTCTCTTTCTTTCTACTTATAATCTTATTTTATTTTTTATAAGTACTAACATCTGTATAGTAAAATGGGTATTATAAAATCCTTTGATACTCAGATAATATAGCTGTCCTTGGAAGTAATCAAGAAGACATTGAGAAACTCGCTACAACACTGATAAGAGAGGCAGAGCAGATCGGCCTACAAGTAAATGAAGACAAAACAAAATATATGATAATAAGCTCAAAATTCCACCCCAATAACAGGTTCTGCGTAGAAGGGAAATCATTCCTGAGAGTAGTAAAATTCAAATAACTCTGCACCACAGTAACCTCAATGAATGAAAAATGGGCAGAAATAGACTAGTGTATATCTAGCGCAAACAGGGCTTTCTTCTCCCTCTCTAAGGTTTTGAAATCCCCAAAAATCTCAATAAATCTCAAACTTAGGGTGTACAATGCTATGATAAAGCCAGTTCTAATATATGGTTGTGAGACCTGGTCACTCACCAGCACCCTAGAAAAAAGTGTTGAAAGATTTGAGAGGAATATCCTCCGCACGATAACTGGAGCGATCTGGGATCAGAGTACTAACACATGGAGAAGAAAGACCAATAAGGAACTGCTTACAGAAACTGGTCAATCAATATCCCATGATATGAAGGCACGGAGGTTGTGATGGGTGGGACATGTAGCTCGTGGCAATCCATCTGGAAGCCTCTACGTAACGATGAATGACTCAATAGAAGGAAAAAAACGACGTGGAAGGCCAAAAAGCTGATGGATAAATATAATCAAAGATGCAACAGAGCTCTGTGCAGATAAATGGAAAGAAATAGTCCAAGACAGGCAGAGATGGAGCAGACTTGTTAATGCGGCAAAAGATCTAAATGGTCTGTAATGCTAACAGAAAAAAATAAATAAATAAAATCTGTATTACAATAATTTATTAACATTAAAATTAAATTGTTAGTAAGGCATAACCAGAGCGATCTGGGATCACAGTACTACCACATAGAGAAGAAAGAATAATAAAGAACTGCTTGCAGAGACTGGTCAATCAATATCCCATGATATGAAGGCATGCAGGTTAAGATGGGCGGGACATATAGTTCATAGAAATCCATATGAAAGTCTCTACATAACAATGAATGCCTTCATAGAAGATAAAAGACCACGTGGAAGGCCAAAAAGCAGATGGATAGATAGAATCAACAAATATGTAATAGAGCTGTGTGCAGATAAATGGAAAGAGATAGCCCAAGAGAGGCAGAGATGTAGCAGGCTTGTTATGGTGTCGAAAGATCCACATAGTCTGTAATGCCAAAAAAAAAAAAAAAAAAATGGTAAGTAAGGAACAATGACTATTGTAAAATTCAAAATGATTTAGTATTTTTGTGTGTAAGAAAGGGAATTAGGTCCTAAGACAATTAAAAATCAATCAATCTCTTTCTCTCTCTCTCTCTCTCCCTCTCCTTCTCCCTCTCTCTCTATCTAGTCAATGGTTCATTAATTATAGTTAAAATATTTAATTCCTATTAGTAAGTTCAATTGATTTAATTATTACAATTTTAAAAATACAGGTCAAAAGCAACAATAACACTCTCTCCATACGCAATGTTCAAACATCCGATGAAGGATGGTACACATGTTTGGTGATCACTCAACAGCGGAAAAATATTAGTAGTGCTTGGCTGGAAGTTACAGAAGAAGGTTCGTAGACATCTTTAAAAATGAATGATATTCTACTTAGTAATGAAAATACCTGATCAATATATTTTCAGGATGATTAAAATGTATTTTTATGTTCTATATTATTAAGAATGATTATTAAAATAAATAAATCCTGAAAATCACATTAGCGGTCCCGTGCTTAAAATTTAAAGATTTTAATTTTAATTTAAATTTTATTTTAAAGATTTTAATTTCAATAAAGTAAATTAATGCTTCTTAATATTTAATGTTCATTCATACAGTATTATGATTCTGAACTTTCTATTATATTATTTAATTGTATCTATTAATTTTCAGAAAGAAAGTTGGCTGGTTCTTTCAATGACTCAAAACAAGTAGCAAAACCTGTTTTTACAAAACCAGATAAAATGCATAAAGTAGTTGCTAAGCCTGCTGGTAATACTTTACGACTGAAATGTCCTGCTGAAGGTTTTTATCATAATAAACCTCTAAACTTTTAAATAAGGATAGTTGAATTAAAATGAATATAAATCTAACTGAAAATATTTATTTTTAGGTAATCCAGCTCCTAATATAACATGGACAAGGGATGGTATGACTCCTAAGAGAAATTTAGGCTCAGTTCAATATAGACAGTGGTCAATCACTCTTGAAGACGTAATACCTTCTGACTCAGGAAATTACACCTGTATTGTTTGTAATTTATACGGATGCATAGATTTTTCATTTAAGGTTTTGATACAAGGTTTGTATATTTTGTTGATAAAACATTTCTTAATTAATTTTAAGAATAATACTTAAGACATGACAAGTATATGGCAAGTATAATTAATAAATACATCTCTTAACAAAAAGGTGATATTTCTGTATGTATAAATATATATATATATATATATATATATATATATATATATATATATATATATATATATATATATAAATATATATATATATATATATATATATATATATATATATATATATATATATATATATATATATATATATAAAAGTTAGTTGGGAGGAGGGGAGAGGAGGTCTACAGACAAAAAACACTATATTTATTTCATTGTTCAATGTTTTGACCTACGTGTAGTTTTTATTTAGGACTATTTAAGACACAAATAATATATATTAGTTATTTAATTATATATAAACAATATATATTAATTATAGATAGTTACAATACATGTAGATGACTATTGATATATATATACTGACAGGCAAAAAATTCCACCCACTTGATTTTTTCATGTTTTCATCTAAAAATATTTCTGCTTTGGATTGGTCTATTGTTTTTAATGAATAAATAGGTAATCTTTTTGTTTGTTTTCAATTAGGAATGTTAATATAGAGGACAATAACCCTTAATCCTTAATTCAATGAAATGATTCTAGATTCCAATGTTTACTTTTTATGGAATCAAAATGTTTATTCAGTGTCATTAGTCCAGTGCCGTTTCTTGCAGCACATTTCTTAGTCTCCGGCTTTTAATTTTTTCAATATTAAGTTTAAAAATGCTTCTTAGTGCTGAGGATGTTGCGCGTGGTGTGGCACTTATTGATGATGGAAGTTCCATTAGATATGCAGCTAATGCCATTGTAGTTCCATATGAAACTTTACGAGAAGCCGTCAGGCGTTTTCGGGAAACTGGTTCTTACAATAGAAGGCCCGGAACTCACAGGCCCGGTTCTGGACGGCCTAGGAACCACGGGATGACCGGTTTTTGACTTTGTGAATTTTACAAAACCGGCACCTTACCGTTGTTCAAGCGATTCATCATCTGGAAGAAGTTCGAGATGTGCAAATTTCTGAACGTACCGCTCGGAGAAGATTAAATGAGTATGGATTAATGGCTTTTCGTCCAGTAAGAGGACCAGAGTTGACCAGAACTCACAGAGTAACACGGCTGGCTTTTGCTCAAGAACACAGCCATTGGACTATGGACGAATGGAGTGCTGTACTTTTTACAGATGAGTCAAGATTCGCTCTTCGATCTCCAGACGCGTGTGAAAGGGTGTGGAGAAGAAGAAATGAAAGATATGCAGCATGTAATTTTTCCCAGAGCCAACCTTTCCAACATGGTTCCTTAATGGTGTGGGCTGGGATTTCAATGGAGCGCCGCACAGAATTGGTTGTTGTTCGTGGAGGGTCTTTGCTGGCCATTCGCTATGTAGATGAGATTTTGGAACCTCATGTGTTCCCTATCCTCAACGAAATTGGCGATCGTTCTATTCTAATGCACACCCACATGTCGCCCGCATAGTGCAGACGTTCCTTCAACAGAACAATATTGAGCTTTTAGTCTGGCCAGCACATTCTCCAGATTTGAACCCCATTGAACATTTATGAGATAACCTCAGAAGACGAATAAGAGCGCGTGCCACACTTCCTGATACACAGGACCTTGAAAGGGCTCTTCGGGTGGAATGGGCTATCCTCCAGCAAAGGGACATTTCCTGACTGGTGGAAAGTATGCCGAGGCCTCTTCAAGAAGTAGTGAAGGCAAGAGGAGGAAACATGCGCTACTAAACGATGATGTAATTAATTTCTTTTAGAATAATAATGGTTCGTTTTTCAATTTTTTTTTTCTCTAATCTTTCTTACCCAATCACATTTTGATTATTAAAGGTAAAAAAGATTATAAAATTCCATAAATACTAAGTATTATCTACAAATACCATGTATTATATATTATAAAACAATAGACCAATCCACAGCAGAAATATTTTTAGATGAAAACATGAAAAAATCAAGTGGGTGGGATCTTTTGCCTGTCAGTGTATATATACGAAGTTGTCTATATATTTCCAATATATAGACAACTCCTTGTACATTCACCTTAAAAACGTGACCTCTTTCACCAATTTCCAAATCCCTACAACTTAACCCCCATTTACTAATACATTTTAATACCCACCTTCTTCAGATGTATTTAATAATTTAATCAATTACTTAAACCACTGCACGCAACTACCACTTTAAAAACTTTAGGTGTAATGGCCTTTTCTTATCTCACCCACTTGCACTTTTTCGGCAACAGACAAACAACTACTTTTACAACCCTCTGGCCCCTTTCTACCTTTCTGTTTCTTGACCCTCATTGTTACCTGACCGACATCAGACAGCCAGTCACCGTACTGTCTTTAGCAGCGCCAGATGGAATTGTATGTTTTGACTTTTATTATTATTTTTATTCTTAATATACCTACTACCTATTACTCTTAATATACTCCAGATATCCTAATAATCCCTTACCTTTCCAAATTGAACTGAATGCCAATGGTCAACAACATGTGCTGTAGCTGTCTATAATTAATATATTTTGTTTATATATAATTAAAAAACTAATATACATTGTTTGTATCTTATATAGCCTTAAAGAAGAGCTGTTGTTGGACAATGCAATAAATATAGTATTTTTTGACCGCACCTCCCAACTAACTTCTTCTGAAATTAATACCTACTGTCAACAATATCCATTCCATTATACATCTCTCTCTCTCTCTCTCTTCTATATATATATATATATTACCATATTCACATATAGCTCATGACCTGAATACTTATTATAGATTCGACTTTCTTTTTCTCTTTTTTTTTTTTTCTGTTTCAACAGAAACAGATTTTACTATTAAGAAGAATATACATTTATTTTTTCTGTATTTTTTATTTTTTCTAAAAGGGTTTATTTATATTTTAACATCGTACATAGTTTTAAGTATCTTAGTATGGTTTCAAGAGTTTTTTATATAGATTTTTATATTTTATTTTGTATATAGTATGTATAACCGATATTTTTTTTCTTTTCTTTTCTTTAATGACCTATAATTATCTTAATTTGTTATGTTTGTTTTTATCTGGCCAGATGTAAAATTTTAATTTCTGTACTTTTTTGTTATTCTGAAGGGACTTCGTCCCAGAATAAAATTATTTTTCTATTCTATTCTATTCTATATATATATATATGTGTGTGTGTGTGTGTGTGTGTGGGTATGTACCGGGTGTACCATAATTAAAAAGAAATATTTAAAGGGATGATAACAGACCTCAAGAACTACAAAGATTTTTATATAAACAATGGTCTGATTTTCCACAGAAAAGTAGGTAATTAAAGTATTGTGTTTTTTACAAATTAAGTTTTTTAATGAACAAGAAGCAATAACTCATTAAAAATATTTAATTTAGGTAATTAACAATTGCTTTGTAGCAGTCTAATCATAATTTCCTTCAAATATAATTAGGATTTGTCTTTGTCAAAACCCTTTAAAGGGGTCTTTTAAGCGGCATATTTTTCATAAAATCATAGATTATCATGATTTTTTTTTTTATCACCCTCTCACAGGACTACAGATACCCCACTTTTACAAAAACGTCCCAATTTCATAAGCTTTAAGTCTATATCAATATGTTACAGTATAACTTGAGACTTACCAAATATTTTGGCTTTACTATAATGTTTTTTTTTAACATTTCAATCTATATATATATTAGTGATAGTTTGGTTAAAATCAAGGAATTCTTGATGAAGGATTCCTTCCATATTCCACCAAACAGACATTACTATTTTTGTATTTATTTTGTTTTTGAAATCAAGTCCTTTCAATATGTTTGAAAATGCAAATAAATGGCAAAGAGTAAAAAATGTCGTTTGAAGCAAGTATTAGTAGTATATCATGTTGTGGTAAAAATGGTCAGTAAAAAATGTTAATTATTTGTCAGTTAAGCCATTTACAAGGATCACTTCAATGCCTAGAATGAATTATAACTATTCTTGTAATAGAACAAATAATTTAATTCCTGCCCCTATATATGTTATTACTGATCACTACCTAAAATTTTACCACTAACCTCAGGATTAATACAATAATAATACGTTTTATTTATAACAATATGTTTTTTATTTATTTCAGAACAAGTCCCTTTAAAATAAAATAGAAGTAAAACATTCTGGGCTTTAGCACCTCAGAGTAAAATTTAAAGAAATAACGAATTAAGCAAAAACAAATAGTAATAAATTATGATATAAATTCTAATATTAATAAACAAAACAAAAGAAAAACATGAAATAATAATTAAAAAACAAATTATATACATATTTACAGAAACATCTATTTACAATTTTTTGGAAATAGGATGGATATTGAGTGATTGAATGGGTAGGATTTAATGGTGGGGAAAATATTGGAGCAATGGTTTTAGGAAGGGATGGAGTTCCATATGGATGAGAACTAGATAATGAAAGATCTGTCTAAAGTTGCTGTTGTATATAAATCTGAAAACTCAGAATGAGTATTGAGGGAAATAAAAAGAGGATTTGAATTTATTGAGTTCAGAGATGTATAATAGATGGCAGGATTGGACAACTTGGAAGAGGAAGGATGCCTAGTATTATAACAGTAGGACAGATAAAGCCACTTCAGCTCTTCATAAGATCGGTAGACAGAGGCATTCCATGGGATTCTGAAGATGAACGGCACATAGTAGTTCAGCAAACATTTTAGTTTTTCCTTTAGATTCTTGAGATTACCCCCCATATACCATAAATTAGTAGCCAAAGTTAAAGAGGAAAATTATGATAGTAACTAGGATATGTACTATACGGAATAGCCAATGGATTTTAAATGGAAATAGATGAAAATGATAATTTAATCATATTACGGTGGAAAAAAGTATGACATGGTATTTCAAGGAAAGGCCTTGTTCAAAGGTGATTCTAAAGTTTTTAATGGTTGGGTAAACTTTTATGAGATTATTATTTTTTACAATCAGGGTTGAATTATAAGGAACAGATTTAAAAAGGAGCCTATTATGATTACCTCTATCATTTTTTTGCATTTGATTGCAACTTGTAGATACTGCCCAGTGACTAATTCAATTCAAGTCCTCTTATAGTATTTTTGTGGCTGGTAATAGGTTAGTATGTGAGAAGGATAGGTACATTTGGTTAGTATGTATGGTTCAAGTTCTGTTGTATAAATAAATGAATAAATAAAACAGCAAACTTTGTAGATACAAATTCAATTAGCTGAATATCTCTTCTGGGAGACCTGCTTATGTTTTTTTTTTTTGATATCATACTAAGAAGTAATTGTAGGGACTTTTTTAAAAATTTATACCAGAATTAATAAATTAAATGTAACCTATTAAAAATAATTTAAATTATAACATCAAAAGGACATTCCTTTAACAATTAATACAAGGAATTTTGATTCTTGCTAATTATTTATCATTTGTGTTCAATAAATTTGTTTTCTTACTTATTAATCCTTTTGTTTAGTACTGTAAGTTATAATGAGGAAAAAATTAGCAAATGCTCTCACAATCATCATAAACTGCATACATTTATAAAGATTCCAGAAAGTGTTTATAAGAAAAATAAAGTATAAGAATAACATATATTTAAAAAGTTCATTTTTAACTATATGCTTCATAGAAATACTGTATTTATATTGCAATCAACTCATTTTTACAATCATTGTTTCAGATTTTTAATTTTTTTGTATATTATACAAACCTCTTTTAAACTTTCATGTATGTACAGTATAAAATAGGATTATTCCAAATTTTCAATATTTTATTCCTTTCTGAAACAGAGAGATATCCTCACAGACCATACATCAAGGAAGGATTTCCAAATAACTTGACAGTTCTTGTTAATTCAACTGCTGTTCTCAGTTGTCCACTATTGTCAGATTTAGAACCATACATTGAATGGCAAAAATCTGCTAACTTAGTTTATGGAGCTGATAATACTCCTACCAATGGCACTCTTATTCAGGTATTAAATACAAAATATACATCAGTTACTTCAGTCACTAAAGAAATGGAACTTTTCATCCACTATACACCACATAACTTTAAAAAGACTGTTTTCAACTGTAAAGCTCAAAATAATTAGTTATAATTTAGCTCTTTTATTTCATTTCAGAACAAAAAAGGTAAGTGATAGAATCTTAATCTTATTATGCAGTCAAAGTAACCATCTATGTATTCCTTCTTATATTTTTAGTTACCACACATTTTAATCTAGTGTTTGTATTAACTGGATTTAGGAAGTGTAAATCAGCAGCCATGAGCTCGAAAAAATTAGTTAAATGAAGTTTGTTGAAATAAGTTTGTGTATTACCAAAACATTGAATAATATTGATTTAATCTTTGAATTTTTGTATTATATTAATTATTAGAAACTGATAATAGATATTAAATATTTTTAAATCAATGATATTGACAACTTGAGAATGATATGTGTTATAATAATATAAAATTTATTGGCAAGATAACTATTTGTGTGTTATTTTCCTCTATTAAAACAAAAAATACTGTTAATTTGTAAATAGCTGAGCTTTACAGTTGTCTCTTTTATCCTTGGAGTGTGTCTAATAGTAATTATATCAATTAATCAAAGAACTATTCTTCTGGAGGTTCAATATCCAAATAAATAAAATTTAAACAAAAACTTATTTCAACAATATTACATAAACATTTTTCACCAAACATTAAATACAAAACTTGGATAAATATCATGGTATCGTGAAGAAAACAATGACTGATACTATACATTTTATGCTTTCTTGGTTTGTAATTGTTTCATAAGTCAGACAATTCATTATGTTCAAGATTCCAATCTTAGACAGAACAGATCTAGAAAATATATTTTATTATTATTACTTTTATATATTTTTTGCCATGAATAAAAGAAATGAAATTGGGTAAATTTTGTGACTGAAGTGTACTGATGTAATAATTAGTATGTAATGATATACTTTAATCTTGCTATTATCATTATAGAACGCATGTACCACAGACCTATATTGACCAAAGTGCCGCAGAATATAACATTGGTTGTTGGTTCAACGGGTTCTTTCGAATGCAAGATATTGTCTGACCTCCATCCTCATCTTAGCTGGTTCAAGGGTCAAACCTCAAAACCAAATCAAAATCATACAGTTAGCTTGGTGAAGGTATTAATTCAGCTTTGAATGTCAATGTTACAAATATAAGTTGATGGAAATGTTTTAATATTTATTTATAACTTTATATCCGATTAATAAAATAACAGTGCATGTAGAAACTATTAATTTATAATAGCATGGGCATGAATTTCAAGTAATTTTATTATTATTCTAATTAGGAAAATTAGATAATAATTTTCATTCTTTTAATACGTAGATAAAATTTAAATTGGGAAATACTCATATTTTTTTTAATGCATATAACGTCTATTTATTGCAATAAGTTACTATATATATATATATGAAATAACCATATTGCTCACATCTCCTGATGGTTAATTTGTACTCTGAAAGTAGTCTATCGCTTCTGCTATCTCCTACCCAAACCCTCACGTGGACTCCTAGTATTCTCTCATCTTTCCCCATATTGAATACGGTTGTGTGGTTTAAAGTGGTCTCTCAACGGAACTTGGAGACATACTAAGAATAATATAATATAAATACCATGAAAAATAATGAAAATCTCAGTAAGATTTTTCAATAGTACCCCAACAAGTCCTGTGTTTCCCACTATTATGCTGAGTTAGGGTGACAACTTCCCTCCTGCACAAGACAATAGTTTTTAGGCATATTCCTTAACAAAATAATTAACAAGTCGTCTATCCACAACCGCACTATAAGATCTCATCCTTCTGACCTTTACAGCCCATTCCATTTAAATCTCTCTTATTCCAATTCTTCTTCACAAATCAATCAGATGCTGGATGATTATTTATTATAAATAAATAATCATCCAGCATATTTATTATTATAAATAATAGATGTTTTCTCTTGTGATCAAAATTAATATTTATTTGTTTGTACACCATTGTTATTAAGAATTTACTTTCCATCTACATAAATTCTATAATTCTATGAATAATTTATTTTTTTTTTAATTTTTAAATATCTTTTTACAGATAACAGTACAGTAGATGTACTTCAATATAGTATTTCCAAAATTATGATTATTTGTTATATTTAACTATTATTTTTCTGTAATTGAATATGATATTATGCTTTTATACTTAAAATGAATTTTGATTATTAAAGACAAATTATAAAGGAATGCAAACAAAACTGTAGGAATTTTTTTATTTTTTTTATTTCTTAATGACATTTACAACTGTATTAAATAAATACATCTAGTAAATTTGGACATAATAGATATAATGACATGAATACACTTGCTGAGTAACTACGCAATGGTAGCACTCTAATGGAAAATTTAACCCAGAGATGAGTCAATACTTGAAAACTGACTTCTTAAAAACTGTTTTCGCCAAGTTCCTGAATTATTCCAAATATGTACAATGCAAGAAATCGTCTACTACTTCATATTTTCTCTTTTTATTGTGGGCAATTTTTTTATTTATTTTTTTAGCTTGATCCATAAATACAGTTCAAACCCAACTGATTCCCCTTTTTCCAGTACACACCTCATCTATCAAAAGCCTTTATCAAAAGTTCTACTGGGTATTCTTTAGGATCTCTTTCCTTTTGTGATAGCTTTATGTTCATGAATATGTTTTTATAGACTACCTTTTCAGCATGTTTTGATTTTTTTTTATTTCTCTGGAAGTTTTACTTCAGGAAATTTAAGCAAATCACTCCTACCCTAATCCTATTACACTTTCAAGATTAAAATAATATTTTGAAGTGCTTCCAGTTTCCAGTCTAACTGTTCCACTTAGTCAGCCCTTATCAAAAACCTCCAAAGACCTTCTCACATCTATATACCAGCATAAAACCACCATCCTTTTTCTTACTTTTGTAAAGCCTTCAATTCCATTGACCATAATATCCTCCTTACCAAACTTCACAGCCTATCCTTGCCGTCTAGTGCCCTTATTCGTTCTAATTCTTCCTCACTAATAGTTCCCCATATGTTTTATCCCTAATAAAATTCCTTTGAGTTTTCTACCTCAGAGATTCATCCTTATCCTCTACCCTTTTTTCCATTCTCATCAATAACTTCCCATCTAATCCTAAATTTGCCTTGCTGTTAACCCATCTCTGCTCATTTAGGTGGGATCCAAAATACCTATAATTGTTAACTGTTCTATTAAAACTCCTCTAGACCTTATTATTCTATCTGCATGGTAGTTTTTCCTTCCTATCCTCATTAACTTGGTTTTGACAATGCAAGAAATAAATTGTCAAAAAATGCTTATAGACAGCCCATGAATCATAGTTAATGACCTATCCTAATGAGTATTTTGTTTAAATATGGTGTGAACACATGCAAAATCAGTTCCTAGAGTATGAAGCACATTAGATGCATGTTACTTATCTTAATGTTTTTAGAATATGAATTTTGTTTTTATCTGTGAATATAACAGAACAAAGAAATACTTCATTTAAAAATGCTTATAATTTTTTTTTCAAAATGGGATTTTGTTTAAAATCTTACTACCAAAAAAAAAATCAAATTTTCCATACTCCTGATGAGGTTTGTAAGTCTCAAAAAAATGTTAACATTATTTAAAAAATAATTTCCAATTACAGGAGTTACTTAGGGATGAAAAAATTTAATTTTTGGATCATATAAATATTTTTAATTGTTTTCACTAATTACATATACATATAAAAATTACAGATAAGATGAAACAATTAATTATTTTATTGAAAACTAGGGGAGTACCCCCTTCCCGATTAACCGCCATTTTACAAATTACACAACTGTTCATTTAATTGTTCTACTCGTCGCTCAAATTTTATAACTAATTTACATGTATTCATTGCATGTATTTGATATTAGAAGAGTAGGAGTTTACAGGAGCTCAACTTTTCAGCCTAGTCCTCTAGGCTCTATAGTCCTGCTTTCCCATGGGGTTTATTCAAACTATCATTTCCTGTACAAATTTAGGATCTAAAATCTTTATTTTGTATTAGGAGAGTAGGAGGTTACAGAAGCTCAACATATATGTAAAATATAATATTGCACAGTCACTAAAAACTTTTTTTATATAATAGAGATATAATTATTTGTATTTCCAATTTATAACCATAATAAGTGAGAAATAATTCTGAGAATAAGAAGTGTGGTGTCTTCATTACGGTCTGTCTCTCTGGTGTCTTCGTTACGGTCCATCAGACTTTGTGTATGTAAAATAAAATATGACATAGTCACTAAAAACTTTTTTATATAATAGAGAGATTCTCAAAAAATATAGAAAAACTGAAAAATTATAAATATGATCTCTGAAAATAATATTATACTATTGATTTTGAAGAATAGATAAATTATTGCTCGGTAAAAAGAATTTAATAAGGAGGCCTAGTATATGTAAAAAAGATAATAAGGCAGTATTTGGCTAATAGGCGAAGCATGGTTTACTTGTTCAACATTACTGGCAAAACAAATCAGCAATGTTTCAAGCTATTTCTGGAAGGATTCTATGAAAACATAAGCTAAGTGTCATTCAAATGGATAGGGTCACACCTAATAAAATTACTGTAGTATATTTTGATAATTGAAAATTTAACAAACGCATGGATAACCTAAAGTTAGTATTATCACTTGTTGATAAATTATGTCAGACTGAGAGCAAAACACCCTTTCATATAATTTACTGGGGCAATAGTTTCACAAGTTTAAGGTTCACAGTTTGTATTATGGATCACGTAATGGAACACAATCAGGGTGAATTAATTAACTTATTAAGCATATGGAAATTCACTCAATTAATAATATTGATTTAAAATTATTGATATGGCACATAAAAGGCTTAAAATGACACTTAAGGACATGGCCATTATTAAAATATAAAGTCACGAATTAATTTTTTAGTATTTCATCAAATACAAATTTTTAAAAGATTATTTAATAATAGCCTATATTTGAGCCAATAACGACATGTACCTCGGAGATATCGGTCATCAATGCAAGACACCAAAAAAGACTGTTAGCAGTAGAGATGGACTTTTGGACAAGGGCAGCAAGAAAATCCAGAAGGGAAAAAAAATTCTGGAAATGATGGAGGTGGAAACAAACATTATAGCAAATATTGAAAACAAAAGGTTGTGCTGGTTTGGGCATGTGAAAAGAGTGATGCCTGAAAGATTGTCAAAGATATGTATGGAACTGGAATTAGAAGGGAGAAGGAAAAAGGGAAAACCAAAGATAAAATGGAAATGCGCGGTGGAAGAAAGCCTGGTGGTTCATGGCATCAGAGAAGAACAAGCCTTCAGTAGAGAAGGATGGAAAAATATCATAAAGGATATTTAGGTCAAGTATAACCAAAGTAGTGGAAAAGTCCTTAAAAAAAAAATTAATAATAGTCAAAACTGTAAGTGGTTATAGAGATAGTAGATTAATAGTTCATGATTATACTATAGATATCATTATATGAAATTTTACATACAATCGTTTGATCATAATAAAGAATTTTGTTAAGATTTATAAAAATCAATCATAAAAAGATAATTAAAATTAAATAACCCCATAAAAGTGAAAATCACATATTTATTAATTGGTTTGGTTTTATGCTTGCATTATACTTCAGGAACTTTTGAATGGCTTAAAAAACTATTACTGCTAATTTTAAACTAAATATAAGGTATAATTTTACTAACCAGCATCCTAGAACATTAATTTTAACAAGTTTCATAGTTTTTGTGATTGACATGATTATGACAGAGAATTATTGTTAAGATATAATCTGGATGTATTAGAAAAAATTTACATTACAGAAAGGGGATGATAATAGTGACCCAGAAAAACTCATAATACATAATGTTACCCATGAGGACGAAGCATGGTATACTTGTCTAGCAGGAAATAAGCTGGGTTACACTTCTTCCAGTGCATACCTGAAAGTAGTGGATAGTGAGTAACTTAATGATCACCTAATTAGTTTGGTTAAATGCAGCACTTTTATACAATTCTATATATGAATTTTATCTCTGTTTGGTTTTTTTCTAAAATGGCTTAATAACCTATATGTCTATTTTATTTAGAGTTAGAAACAGAAGAAAGAGCCTTTTCATTAAAAGTTTTTGCTGTGGAGAATACCTTTATACTATTCGGTATACTATGCAGTGCCTTTTTTTTTGGAACATTTGTCATGATGTGGGTTTTTCAGAGGCTTAAAAGGTTAGTGATTTCAGTTAGCTTTTATTTTAACATATTAATACTTTCATATTTTGATCTATACTTAGTTATGTTTGTATTTATTTAGTAAGCCATTATTATTTATATTATTTGATTGATTATTCAAATGTCAATCAACTGAACTATCAATTATCCAGAAAAATCTGGTTTAATCTTAATTTTATTTGTTTTCCTTTTTTTTTCAAATGATTTTTACAGAATGTTGTTTCTCCACTCTTAATTGTATAAACAATTTTAAAACAAACTGTTTATAATGTAGTGAAGTGAATTGTAGTTTGCACGTATATAAAATGTTGAAATTATATGCTTTTTTTATACTAAAACTTTTCTACTTGTGTTATTAGATTTAAAAAAAAGGGGGGTCTTTATAAAATTGTTTCTTTCTTTCATCAAGTTAATTTTTCCTCTCTGTTTGAACATTCAATAAGGCGTATAGGATTTTTGAATATTTTTTCAAAGATAAAGCCTACAAATAACATACAATGGTTAAACATTTACATATCAGGTAATTCGATAAGTAATGTTGATTTTTTAAAATCTTTCTATGTTGATAATACTAAACCCTCCTTTAAAATTGAATTGTGTTTACATATTTTGTTTATTATAGCATTACATACTCTTCTACATATCATGTTTTTGTTGGAGAAAGTTGTAATTCTGTGCTGAAATTTCAATTAAAATGAATCTCCCCAAAAACCACTAACACCGTGTTATGCTTTAGGAATTCGATAAAGGAGAAAATGATGTTTCAACTTATTGGAGGCTTGTAGAAATATATGGAGAAAACATCATTAGTGAACGGCAAATGCAGAGGTAGTTTGAAAAGTTTTAAGCGGGAGACCACAAACTTGAAAAAGAGCTCCACACAGGTCGACTAAAAGCGCTTGACAATGAACTTCTGCAGGCTACTTTTGAAGAAAATCCTGCTATAACAGTTACAGAATTAGTAGAAAAACTTGCATCGACACATTCTACTGTCCCAATGTCATTTGCAGCTGATAGGAAAGGTACCAAAATTGGGAAAGTGGGTCCCCCATGAGTTAAGCATCAAAATTTTCATAACTTTTCCATAACCAAGGTATTTTATTCCAACATGACAATGTGAGGTCCCATGCTGCAAAACAATTGTTACAAAAATTGAAGGATTTTAGATGGGAAATGATTCCTCACCCACCATACTCTTCTGACTTGGTATCTTTAGTTTATCACCTTCTTCAAAGTCTCCAAAACTCATTAAGTGGAAGGAAGATCAATTCAGTCGATGAAGTGAAAAATGAGGTAGTTTGCTATCTTTAATTCAAAATCAAAGGATTTTTTAATTAGAGTCTAGTAATAATAAGAGTCTTATACAAGAGGAATTTAGTACAATGAGCGACTGACTGGTTCAGCCAGGGATCCCGCTTCCACAACTGTTTCCCCAGGTATGGAGCGGGGTGGCCGAGTGGTTTAACGCATTTTGTATAACACGTGTTGTCTGGCAACCTGATAAACTAAAGTTTATGAGTTCAAATCCAGGTGCCAATGACAGAACTTTGCCAATAATCCCCTCCTCTCCCCCCTGTTTTGGGAAAAACCCCGTGTAGACTAAAAGTATAAAATGAGGAAGAGAAGGACAAAAAATTTTTTTTTAAAATGTTTTCCCAAGTACACAAATTGGTTGATGTTCTGGAACTGGAAATAGGCCCATCACCATGGGCTGTCTCTGCTCCAGATCCAACTCTCATATTCTTATTCTTCTTTTGGTTTCACACATAGCCATATACTTCACCAACTTGAGAAAAATCAAGTTTTTGCTTTAAATATTTGGGCTGGGAAGGGTCAGAGAGGACTGAAGACAAAGCACAAATACGGATATTTACCAACTTTATGGAAAGGTTGGCATAATGAGGTTAATTTGATCAGGAAAACTGCAATGGGCTAGCTCCATCACACGCATAATGGAGTATGAAAAACCTAGGAAACTAGTGAATGGAAGGCTCTATCAGGCTTGGGTAAGAGGAAGATCTTAGCTTAGATGGGAGAACACTGTTGCTAGGGATGCCCATAATCTACTAAACATCTACAACTAGTGAGCAGTGGCACAAGCTCGAGCTACCTGGCTTAAACTTTTTGAGGAGGTCAAAGACCACACCCATCTGATGAATCCATAAGGCCACATGGAAATCGCCTGATAGAAGCACATTCAATCAGATAGACCTTTTCCTAATTAGTGAGCGATATAGATCTACTCTATTAAGCAAAGAGTATATAGTGGCGCAAACATAGATTCTGACCACTATTTGATCATTGCTCAAAAACCACTAGATGAAAGAATAACTGAAGAACTACGCACAGTCAATTTGGATAATATTCAGGATACATGGAATGGTCTAGAAACAGTCATAACCAAGACAGATTATGTTGATTAAAGGGATTTAAAGATCCCCCAGAAAGGAGATCCCCATGGTTCGATGTAGACTGTAGGAGGGTAACTGAAACAAAAAACGTATCCCACAGGCTGATAGTACAGAAGCGGTATACAGGGCAGACAGCAGAAAAACACAGAATGGAAAGACAAGCTGAGAAGTGACTTCATAGAAAGAAAAAGCAAGAATGGTAGAATAAACAGATTGAAGAAGTGAAGACCCTGAGAAATACCAACAGGAATAGAATGTTTTTTCCAAAAAGTTAATTAGGGAAGGATCACTTTTAGGCCGAGAATTGAATCATGCAGAGAGAAGGATGTTCACTTCTCACTAATAAGAAAGAAGTACTTGAAAGATGGGCTGGATATTTTAATGAACTATTGAATGAGGGAGAGGCTAAATCAGAGCAGGATTGTGGGAGTCACAATAACATCATGCTCGATGATAGAGAAAAAGAACTCTGAATCTCTGAGCTTGAAGAGATCCAGGATGCAATTGCCCAGATGAAAAATCATAAGGCACCAGAAGGTGATGGACTACCAGCCGAGTTATTTAAATATGGTGGTGAAGAGCAACAGAAGCTCATTTATGATCTGATAATGAAAATATGCGGTCATATATGTCCTGTATACAAGAAAGGAGAACAATTGGAATGCACCAACTACCCAGAGATTTTGTTACTGTAGTGTGCATATAAGGTACTCTCCAACATCCTCTAGAATAGACTAGCTCCATTCGCTGATTGTCAAATTGGAAAATACCAAACTGGTTTTCGAAAAGGTAGATCAACTATTGATCAAATATTCTCTCTGAATGATTCTAGAAAGAATTTATGAATATAAAATTCCACTCCATTTTTTTTTGGGTCCTCCCCTTCCTAGCCTTTAAGGCTATATGGGGTTTGCCCGGGCCAGGGGGTGTAGGCGGGGACTTAAAAGACTCCCCCGCCACCGGGACACAAACTATTTTAAATCCTTTGTCTCATAGATCAGGTTGCCGGACAACGGCGGTGCTGTGCATACACGTTAGTCCGTTTGGCCACCCCGCCCACTCAAATTCCCACTCATCATCTGTTTATTGACTTCAAGAGTGCATATGATACCATAAGGAGAAACAAGTTTTATGAAGCAATGGAAAAATTGTTAGGTTATGCTGACGACATAGATATTGTTGCACAGTCCTTTCCAGCTCTCGAAGGTGCCTTCCTTGAATTGCCAAAAACTGCAGCTAAGATGGGGGTTCACATTAATGAGAATAAAACAAAATATATTGATACAGGAAAATGAGAGAATTCCCGAAACCAAAGAATAACACCTTTGAGAATGTCCAACAGTTCTTTTATCTGGGATCTCAAATTACAACAAAAAATAAGACATCAATTAAAATGAAGCAGAGAATATCAGCTGCCAACCGATGCTATTTTGGCATTGATAAATTGGAAAATGGCCGCACAAAACAGAGAAATTTGGCAGAACCTCATTGAGGAGGCCAGGACCCACTGAGGGTTGTAGAGCCATTAAGATAGATAGATGATTTTCTCTGGCAATATTCTTTCTTTTATAAAAAAAAGTCCCTTAATGATCGAAAAATCAATGTTTGTGCTTGGTAAATTTTTTCAGACAACTTTGTACCTCAAGTACTAAACAATGGAGTACCACAAGGATCCATTTTCACCTCTATACTTTTTAACATTGCAAATAATTATTTAATAAACTTCATGCCAAAACCTGTTGTGGTTGCATTATATGCAGATGACGTTTTGATTTATTATAGCTCTACCAATGTTACGTTTGTTCAGTTTGTAATGCAGGAACATCTTCACAATCTATAAAAATGGGCCTTCAGTAGCAGTTTGATCATGTAACCCATACCATATAAGATCATGTAACTCTTTCCAAAGTAACGTGTCAAAACTTAACATTTAATTTGTCAAACTTTGCAATGCGGAGAAGTAGAAAATAAAATTTGCATTTATTGGGATAGTATACTAAAAAGGCTACAAAAAGCAAGGACAGAGTATCAAAAGCATGTTTTATTGATAGGAAAAAGTTATGATATTACCTAGATGTGAAATGTTTAAAACATGACTGTTCACAAAATGGCAAACATGGTATAATGAAAGTTTTATACTATTGTGTAGAATTGAAGTATTATCTGATCATGAAATAAATGTTTATTTCTCTATAAGGCATTACCTCTTGTTCTTGCAGTGAAGTATTATTATTTTAATACTTTTCTAAAGGTATTATTTCATTGGTGCTGCCCACACCAGCAGTTAACAGTGATTGCTGATAGAGGAAAATGAGTATTTTTACGAGGAAAGGGAACTGAATATATTTCATTGGCACTGCTTGGCAGTCTAGGTATGATATCATCTGGAGTCTGTTTTGTCCTGACCACTCCAGAAGCAGTGAAGCAGTTGGCAGTGTGATGTTTCTAAGCTGCCATCATATTATAAAAGGGTTTTGATGATAGCGGTCTGTCATTTCCTTTTTTTTTTATCAAGTCAGATAAAATTAAATAAAAAACTTTTAAAATTCAAACAAAACTGTAGCAAATCTTTTTTGTAGGTATGAAATAACAAGATTATTTATTACATCATGAGTATTTTATTATTTTGTCTTATAAAATAAATCTTTAAATGATTTAAATATACCTAAATACAATTAACATTAAATAAATTAAATAATGAAACTGTAGCGGGCAAATAGTCATCTGCCACCATACACCGGAACATAATTTACCTGCCCACTACCTGGCACTACCACACATGCGCACTCAATGACTCACTCAATGTTCCTAAAAGATGTAATTTTATTTTCTCATTATTGTATTGTAAAAAAACTGAAGTTCTAAATTGTAAATATGTGAATTGTGAATACTTTTTATTAGTAAAGTTTAATAAAAATAAGGTATACTGATCAAAGCTTTTAAATTACAGTAACTGTAACGACTCTTGCTAGCCAAGTTAGTCATGGCGAAATGAAGACCGCAGTCAGAAAAATATAAATTTAGATCTCAGAGCTCCATCCTTCGGGATGTAGTCCTTCTCAGCAGTTTGATGAGTATATTCTATATATGCTTTTTTATTCAAATCAAACTGCCTTTTATTTCACAATGCTCCTTTAACCTTTCTTCCTTTTCTCTCTCAATACAAGATCTGGATTCTCATCCATCCGCTTGTACTCCTATATACTAAGTCTGGAGGCTTATTCCTCCATTAGTATTTCATCCTCCCACAGTCTGGAGATTTATCCCTCCGTTTGTGGTTTCCGTCCTGCTGTATTGAGTTTCATCTCTCAGCCCGCAAAACAAAAGAGATTTGGGTGCTCGTCTGCCTGACACTTGATGTTATCCTGTTTTAGCCTCTTCCTTCATCCACTAATTCATATTATCCTAATTTGAACACGCTTTGTCTAGGCCTTCTGATTACTCTACTAATTACACACACCTCAACAGAACAAAATTAATCTCGAATAAACCCTGAAATCCAAACATTAGAAAATAAATATTTTTTTAATTTAAAAGTTCTTCTAATGATTTAATAATCACCTCATGGCAAAATTTTATCTTTTGTGATTTCATTAAAAATATATGTTTATTATTTAAATTATGAGACTAATAATAAATGATAAATTTTGAATCAGAGATATACCTTCAATTCTTAAAATAATATTTTATCATATTATAAGGCTGATGAAATAAATATGACAATATTACATAATAATAATAGTATTATGTACATTACAAGAAATAATGTTCGTAAATATTACAAAAAACATCACTTTTTAGAAGGTGGCTTAATGTGAAATTTATAAATAGATATAGGTAAACATTTTACACTACAGACATAATCTTATTATCCAACTTCAAATACTAGGAAAAATGTTGTGTATTTATAAAATAAGATCAAAACTTAAGTATTTCTGCCTTTGCAATGCAAATGAAAACTGTTACTTTATACTATAAGAAATGTAAAATACATTATTCAAAAAGTAAAATACTAACATTACTGGTTTTGTTCAGGGACAAATTGAAAAAATTAAATGCTATAGAAGCAGAGAGATCTGCAGCTATCACCCAGTGGAGGAAAAAAGTCATAATTGATAAACAATGCCCCAAAAATGAACAAGATCCATTAGTAAGTTAATGATGTATTAAAGTATTTTTGATGTCTTAATTTTATTAAACAGATTTTATCATTAAATACTTATTTCTTTTACTGGAAAATTTGCTGATACATTTAGCTAGAACTAAATGCCAGTTTAACTAACTTGGTAATCTACTTTTATTGCAGTTGATGCCTTTAGTGAAAATTGAAAAGCACAGGGCATTATCTAAAGGTGACAGCATAGAACCTGATTTAGAGTATGAGTTACCTTTAGACTCAGACTGGGAGTTTCCGAGGGAAAATTTAGTTCTTGGTGAAACTTTAGGAGAGGGAGCTTTTGGTAAAGTAGTAAAAGCTGAAGCAGTTGGTGTAATTCAACCAGGCATTACATCTATAGTAGCTGTTAAAATGTTGAAAGGTTATTTTTTAATTAAATGTTTTATTTATTACTATGTTGGAACAATAAAATAACTTCAAACTCATTTTTTATTTATTTTTGTCATTTCAGAAGGTCATACAGATGCGGAAATGACTGATTTAGTTTCAGAAATGGAAATTATTAAGATGGTGGGAAAGCATATTAATATTATAAATATGTTAGGGTGTTGCACTCAAGGTGGCCCTTTGTATGTTTTGGTTGAATTTGCTCCTCATGGAAATCTAAGAGATTTCCTAAGACAGCATAGACCATCATCTGGTTATGAGCCTGCAATTGGTGAAGATATACAAGATAATAGAAATGTGCTAACACAAAAAGACTTAGTTTCATTTGCTTATCAGGTTGCTAGAGGAATGGCTTATCTATCTTCAAAAAGAGTAAGAACATATTTTTCAAAAACTAAATAAATAATAATTGAATAATAAATCAATGACATATTTCACAAATCAAAAAAGAAAAAGCACATTAAAATTGTACGGTTCCAAAACTGTGTTGAGTTGCTAAATCACTCAGCATGCTAAACAGTCATAATTGATACCATTTAATAAAAGAGAACAAATAGGATAAAGTATTACGGGACTATCATCCAACGTACTAAATGTTATAATTTATTCATTCACTGTTACAACTTTTTTCTCATTTTCTTCTCTCTCAATTTTGTCCGGTGAGTCCACAACAAAGCACCCAGAATCAATACAGGTGGTGGTGTAGAATTCCCAATGAATCCAAAATAATAGATTCTGCCATACTCTGCAGATAGCTCCTTTCCACACCTAGCTCTTCCATAAAATCAGCAGTTGAAGTTGGAATCGCTCCTCTACTCCCGAACCACAATCCCCAAACCGAATATTCTCTTTCACCAAATTCCTCTCTATATTTCTCCTGTAGGTAGGGTATGAAATTTTTTTTTTTTTATAGATTTCCTCCTTTTCTTTTTGTACTTTGAGGTCTTGATCTTCATTGTTTGTTTCAAATCTAATATTAGGATCAACTATCAGAGCCTCTTTTCCTTTTGCATTAAAGGCTAAGATATCTACAAATATCGCTGAGCCCTTCCTATCTAGCTATACACTTCCAGAAAGCATCTATACTTTTTCGTCTCCAGGAATTTAGCAATTCGATGCTTTACATTATTGTGCTGGTGGGTGACAAGGGGCATGTTATTAGGAAATTTGCCCAGTATATAAGCTGGGGTTTCTGATTCTTGGCCACATTTGCGGCAGAGGGATCCAACATCTCCATTTGCCTGGCTTCCGGCTCCCGCAACTCCACGAAGAGGAGCAAAGTTGATATTTAATCTCAACGCATTTGTCCACTCCGAGTCAGTTAGAATCTTTTGGTCATACATAAACTTGTTAGCCCATTGGTTTGACTTAAAATGTGGCACACCCATTTCCTACCATTTGCATTTGTACCAATCCTCAAATGAATTTTCTCTTAGGGACTGCCTAACTTTCTTGACAGATTGTGATGCCTTTATAGTATTTGCTTTCAAGCTTAACAGATCAGCACATTGTTGCACTTCAATCTTGAAATAAAAAATCACCTGAAACAAACCATTCAGTACATTGGCCTGTTTTTGTCTTTATTTAGACAACGGTCTTTATACTTTAATAAAAACATATATCAATCCATCGTACTAAAGACATATCATGAATCGGAAGAAATTATGTTGATAATCTTTATTATAAAGATGGTTGAAACAAAATATCTCTAGAATAACAATTTTAATAATTATTTTTTTAATGAAACAAAGATTGTAGTTATGATTTTTTCAGACTTAACAGGTATCAAAGCTTTTTCAAAGAGACAATGCTTTTTAACAAAGTACTCAATATCTTTTATACATGAAGTGAACCATTCAAAATAGTCATCTAGCTTAATTTTTCTTTAAGAATTATGAATATTAATAAGAAATTTCCTTTTACATTTTTAGAATTAAAAAAATGCATAACATTTGTTTTAAAATACTGTTTATATTCTTCTTCATTGATAGATCTACTACTCATTGGAGAGTCAAGGTTCCCTCAGTCAGAGCCACCAGTCTTCTCTGGTTTATGCTACTGCTTTCTGATTTCTTATTCCCAACAGCTTCTGAGCATTTACTGTTATGCAATCTACCCAATACATGCGAGGTCTTCCAACTCTTCTGTTTATTATATATTTTGAAAAAAAATCTTTTCATAACTTTTATTAGTTTTAAAAATATTTATGGTACTTTATTGGCCCTCCTCAAGTACTAATTGTTCCTTAAAAGTTATAAGGCATGCTTCTTTTCAGAATTTTCATGCTACTTTGAGAGTCCTTCCACTAGTGCTGCATACACTTCACCTATAATATGTTGAATGATACTCTGTGTTGGAATTCTTTTTTGAATTTTCTCTTATAAATGTTCAATGAGGTTTAGGTCTAGGGTTTAGAAGGCAGATGAATGTGAACATGAAACGTTTTGATTTTGTAAGAATTCATTTCGTAGTCTAGTTTTGTGAGGTCAATCAAGGGCATCCATAATTTCTGGGCCATTTTCTAAGGTCATAGGATTCATTATTGGTATTTAGAACTTATTGAAGTAAGGCTAAGTATTCATAGTTCATTTTCTCAATAGAAGCTCTATTGTAGTGTCTGAGGCAATTCCACCAAATACTGTAATAGAACTGCTTTTGAATGGGTAAAGAAGTAACTCCTAGGAAGGATTCTATCACTTCCCAAATCATCAGGTAACTTTTGCTAGGTTTTTATATTGGTGCAATACAAATTTAGACAGATGTGAGAAAAGGAAATTACCCACAACATCATCATTCCATGAAACAGATATCAAAGTGAATTCAAATCTTCAAACTTTACATTGTGAAGTAAGCCCTGGGAAATGCAAAGATCTATTCATGCTCTTTCAACCTCCTCCTAACTACATAAAGGCTAATTTGCATAGTAGAAGCAGGAAAGAAACCATCAGTTCACCTTTAGTAAGATTTGTAGTGATTTCATCAAGCTCAGCAGTTAAATATTGATCTAATACTGTTCTAGAACTTTAAAACCCTCTAATTTGGCATCTAAATAACCCTATTTACTAATTGTAGCTCAACCCTATTTACTTAATGTCTCAACTCAACATCCACACTTTGATGTTCTTAGTCTTGGTTAAACGCCAAGCATCAACAATGGGGTTCAAGAACCACGAATTCTCGTGGTCGAACATTGCTGTCTGTACTCAATTCCCAAAATTTTACCCTTCTTCCACCCAACTCACCTACCTACTGGCCCACTGATCCTAACCGTAATCCCGATATCCTCGATTTCTTTATCCATAATGGTTTAGGTGCTCTCAACCATTCCGTTGCCCGTCTTGACGAGCTTTCCTCAGACCACAGCCCATTAATACTCCAAGTATCACTAGCTCCTATTCCTAAACCCTCTCCTCCGTCCTTCATCAGAGGCCCAGTTAACTGGAAACTCTTTCATCAAATCCTCTCTGATAAAATTGACCTCAGAGTAACCCTGAAAACCTCTGAAGACCTGGACAATGCAGTACATTCCTTCACTACCAAAATTCAAGAAGCAGTCTGGACTGCTTCCTCCCCTGACCACTCCTCAAAAATCCTTAAGAAACATAATTTACCTCAACACCTCCTTGACCTAATCCACATAAAACGCCGTGCCAGATTATTATGGCAACGTACCAGACATCCAGCCGACCGCCACTCCTACAATTATCACTGTAAAAAATTAAAACAAGAATTAGCCACCTTCAGATCCCAATCATTCAATTCCTACCTCACCACACTCTCTGCTCATGATAATTCCCTTTGGAATATCACCAGAAAAATCCTCAAATCCCATCATATTTCCCACCCTCTTCGACGAGATGATGGCTCCTGGGCAGCATCTGATGAAGATAAAGCCGAGGAATTTGCCAAACACCTTTCCTATACTTTCGCTCCTCATCATGAATCCCATCCCAGCCACACAGTAAAAGTAGAAGAATCCCTCTCAATACCTATCCCACTCTCCTTACCACCTAAAGCTGTTAATCCCTCTGAGGTCAAATACCTTTTACGGAAAATCACTCCTCGCAAATCTCCTGGATATGACCTTCTAACCCCACAGATCCTTCGACAACTTCCATCTAAAGCCATCATATTTCTTACATACATATACAATTGCATCCTACGAACTACCCACTTCCCTCTTTTATGGAAACATTCCACCATCGTCCTCTTCTTGAAACCAGGCAAACCTTCCAACAATACAGCATCCTATAGACCAATTAGCCTACTCCCAATCCTCTCAAAAATTTTTGAAAAGATCCTACTGAAACGAATCCTACCTATAATTGAATCCTATAACCTTCCTACTCATCAATTCGGATTTCGTTCCCAACATTCCACTGTCCAGCAAGGACTCCGAGTTGTTGACCATATATCCTCAACCCTAGAAAGCAAGCAGTATTGCTCGGGTGCATTTCTGGACATAGCGCAAGCTTTTGACCGGGTATGGCACGCCGGATTACTCTTCAAGCTTAAAATCCATCTACCACAGTCCTTATACCTAGTACTCCGATCCTATCTTTCCGACCGCTCCTTCCGAGTTCGCTGTGCCACCGAATTCTCCGACTGTTACTCAATTGAGGCTGGCATTCCTCAAGGCAGCGTCTTGGGCCCCATCCTTTACATTCTCTTTACCGCTGATATTCCTGTCCATCCCGATACCCTCCTGGCAACTTTCGCTGATGACACTGCTATCCTTTCTTCCAACTCAGATCCTGAAACAGCGTCCGCAAACTTACAAAGGCACCTCTTCCTGATTGAACACTGGTGTAAGAAATGGCGCATTAAGGTAAACGAATCTAAATGTAAACACATTACCTTCACCCTTCGGCGTAATACCTGCCCACCAGTTTATTTTAACTCCATCCAGCTTCCTTTCTCAGATACAGTCCGGTATCTTGGCTTTCTCTTAGACAGACGACTAACATGGAATCCACATACTCGACTTAAAAGACAGGAACTTAACAGACGATATGGCCAGCTATATAGACTACTGAATAGAAAATCTAAACTTTCTGGTGAAAACAAATTACTGATCTACAAGACAATACTGAAACCCATCTGGACTTACGGACTAGAACTATGGGGAACAGCCAAATTTTCTAACATCAAACGCATTCAATCCTTTCAGTCTAAAGTCCTCTGTACAATAGTCAATGCTCCCTTCTATGTAACCAATAAAACCCTACACCATGACCTTAATATCCCATTTATTCTTGATCTTATCCCAGCCAAATTTTCCAAATTTCACCAGAACCTTTCTCATCTCCCAAATCCCGTTGTACAATCCCTATCAAGCACCACCCATCCCTACAATCCCCTTCGTAGGTTAAAGCGGCAGTGGCCACGAGACCTTTTGTAAATATGGATATTTTGGAGTTCTAGCAATGGCCAGATTCTCCACTCAAGTCATGAGTGTCTGTGGCTGTAGCGCTCTTACTCATCCTCCGCTGGTTTAAAATACCAGTGAAGTGGCTGAGGGAGAAGCGTAGGGATCTCCTAAGCCTCCCTTTTCCCTCCACATGTGGAGGGGACAGGATTGGTTCGGAGATCACCTGGCAAATTGTAAATAATGTATGTTTTATATAAGGTGTTTGTTTTACTTTTATTTCTATTTTTATTTACTTATGTGTATATATATATATTTTTTTTTCTTTACTCTTTTGTTCTTTCTTCTTATTCTTTTGTTATTACTTTATTTATTTATATTTTTGTATATACGGTATGAATGCAATCTCTGAACTCTATTATAAGTGTCCTTAACTGTGACAAATTGTAATATTTCTGAATAAAGTGTTTTTTTTTAATACTTAGTCTTGGTGCTATATTTTTCTGGATATTGCTTCATTTAAAACAGTAACAGCTATTGCAACATCTATGCTGCAAGCTGTATAATTAAATAATAATAACCCATACTTAGATAGTGAAAAATAAGTAATAATGAATATTGTAATTTTAGAAAGAGTGTATTTCATTGGAATTTGCCTATAGCCTGCCATGTTACATTGTGATTCCCACCAAGCAATTTTCTATTTCTATTGAAGCTTCTGTTTTTTGTTCTATCTGAACAAAAAATAATAAATAAATGAAAATTTCCATATTTTATTGTTATGATCCACAAGAGTGACTGTGAATTCCAGTTTTTTATTTGACACACATGAATATGCCTTCTATTCATAATTCTGATGGATGAGATCCAGAGGATTTGCAAAAGGAGAACACCCTGGATATAGATTGGAAAATGGAATATCAGGACAATCCTCACAAAATGCAGTTTCATAATAATAATAATTGAAAAAGTATATTGACGGATGATATTGTACCACTTGCAGATACTAAACAGAAACTGCAACATGCGATTACTGAGTGGCAGGAGGAGCTTTTGCATAAGGGCATGAATATCAATATTTCCAAGAGCAAAGTACTTATTGTATCCAGGAATGAAACAAGAAATTTCAAATATAATAAAAAAAGCATATGAGGTCTATTATTAGATTTTTAACACCATTGCAAGGAAACAAAAGTGATTAATCAAGTCAAATTCCAAATTTCTAAAGCAGTGTTTCTCTCTACCCTTATGTACGGAAGTGAGAGTTAGGTTGCAAATAACAAAAATACTAGCCGAGTTAACACAGTTGAGATGAAATATCTACACAGAGTAGCAGGTAAAACAAGAAGATACTGTGTTAGGAACAAAATGATAAGAGAAGACTTAGAGACCACTGCATTAAAAGATACAGTTATGTAGGCAGAATAAGAACCTAGACCCATAGAAGGTGTTGGAGGCTAGACCATGAGGAAGACCCAGAATTATATATAATGAATATGTACAGACAAAAACAATCTGTTTATTACTTGAGAAAAACCTTGAAAACTTGAAAAACTTGAGATTCACCGCGAGTTGTGTAATGAAATGAAGTGATTTTTTATTCAGTCTCCTAAAAGTACCTGTGTTTTCAGCAAAAATGACTACAATTAACTGTTTCAAAGATTTTATTTCTTGTTTTTCTATTATCTGGGATATATTCTAATAAAAATAATTGTATATTTTTTATTTATAAAAATAATACAATTTAAAATAATATTTTTTTAAAATATTTTTTATGTAAGTTGTTAATGTAATTATTAAAAGTATTAAGTATTAAAAACTAGCCGCTTAAATGTCCTCTTTAAATGGTTTTAATAATGGCAAACTCACTTTTCAATTAAAGTAAATTTTGTCTAGTTTACAGTGAAGTAATTGTTAATTACTTAAATTAAATATTTCTTTAGTTATCACTTCCTATTCAACAAAAAACATAACTCTCCTAAAAACACACAAAACTTGTACTTCCTACTTTTCTGCTGGAAAGAGGCCCATTGTTTATATGAACTTTTTTGTAGGCCTTGCAGTCTTCTATCAGTCCTATCAAAATTTCCCTCTACTTATGGGACACCCTACCCTGTATATTTCATTTATTTAATAAAGATGTTATCTGAGGAAAGGCAAATTTATTAAAAATTTTGTTACAGTGTGTACACAGGGACCTAGCTGCCAGAAATGTTCTAGTTAGCGACAACTATGTTCTTAAAATAGCAGATTTTGGATTAGCTCGAGATGTTCATAGCAATGATTATTATAGGAAAAAAACAGATGGCCGGCTACCCGTAAAATGGATGGCTCCAGAAGCACTGTTTCACAGAGTTTATACTACTCAGAGTGATGTGTGAGTATTGTGTATCACTAAATCCTTTAATGAATTATTGAAGGAAGTTAATCGACTGTTCTACATATTATAGGTGACAAATAGTCAGAACGCAATCATTTTTAAGGTTTTTATTATTAACCATTAGCTGTTTTATGTTATACAACTTTCAGCCCTGATGATAACTCAAATGCTTGGGATGAAACGTCGGCCCCAATAAAAACATTAAAAATGACTGCGTCGTTACTATTCATCGCCTATAAATCCTTTAATCTTTTATTTTTTTGATATTTCTGATTTATTCCTAACTATAACTTATATTTTGATTAAAATGCTGTTCATATATAATTTCTATATTGTGATATAGAAACTAATAAACTATACTATGAAAATAAAATAAAAATATTTTGTTTAAAAAGAGATAAAGGGTTAATTTCCTCATCTTAAGTTTTGAATTATATTTAACGGATAAAAAGTCATAACAATGTTATTTTTTATCAATAACTATATTTATTTGCAGATGGTCGTATGGTGTCTTATTATGGGAAATAATGAGTTTAGGAGGAACTCCTTATCCTTCAGTACCTAGTATGGAAAAATTATTCCATCTATTACGAACAGGACACAGAATGGAAAAGCCACCATGTTGTTCATTAGAAATGTAAGAATAAAATATAGTTTTTATTGATATTATCATTGTGTTGGGAAAAACTATACACAATAAAATATCAATATTGCTATTCCAAACCATATCGATAACTTCTATATTTTACGTCTTTTTGTTGAATTTAATAATGAAAAACTCTTATGCTATTTTTTTTTCTTGTTAATATATTGAAAGTTAATCAAAAAAATAATAGTTGATAATTTTATCAAACTTTAATGAATACTATAAACAACAGTAGCCAATTCCAAAAAAAAAACAGAGTTAGGCATGTAATCAATATCAAATCTCTTCAGTCTCAATGGATTATCAAATTGAATGATAAATAATTTATTCTCTTAAAAACTATGGATAATCTCTAATTTTAAAAATAAAAAATAGCATGGATAAGAATAAAAAGTGATGTTGAATTAATGAAATTTAAAATATAATCCCAAATCAAGAACTAATGCATCAACTTAAGCAAAAGAAGGAGTCGTGCAGATATTAGAAAAACAGGAAGCCTTTCAGCCTATCTGAAAAGTGGATTCACTTTGTATTCAGACCAAATGATATGTTGATTTTTTTTCAGATTAACTAGATATTATTTATGTTAGATATTTTTGTAGTTTTTATATTAGGTTATCTTATACTGATCTAGGCATTAATATTCAATGTTATTTATTACTATTATCACATTGCATATAAATTATCTTCTTCGATTGTGTCTGTTGAAAATTACCTTACACAGATTTTAAGGGATTATAAAATCTTTTTATTTATGCATTTTTTTAGTTACATGATGATGCGGCAATGTTGGTGTTATCAACCTAAAGAGCGACCATCATTTTCAAAATTGGTTGAAAGTTTAGATAAAATACTTATGGAAACAGCAAATGAGGTAAAAATGAAGACATAATTTTATCATACAAATCAGTATCCATTACAAATTAAAATTATATATTTTCTTCAACTTCACAGATGCTATAAGTAGTAATTTGTTCATTATAGTTCTAAGAGTTAAACATTTTTTTTAATTCATTTTATTTTAAACATACCTTTATTTAAACAGAGAGCAGGGTAGCTCAGTGGATAAGCACTGACTTCCCCAGAGCTCAAGGTCCCAGGTTCGAATTTGGCTGATGACTAGTAATTTTTCATCAGCCCTGGATCGACCCTGGGGCCGGGAGACCCTCCTGGGGCAAACCCAGCCTCTATAAAGTGGGTTCTCTTAATTAAATTATTAATTAAGAGAGAAAACCTGGCGGTTGAGCATGATATTGGCCCGTCACTTCCCTGCAGAACTGTTGGCCTTGTAACACTACCTCCTTACATTGTATTAGAAATAGAAATAGAAAAATCATCTTTATTCTGGGACTAGGTCCCTTTAGAATAACAGTATTGTTTATATGTATTAACTACAAATCTGGTCAAAAGACTTATTACAATGAATAATGACAAAATACATGTAATACATTAAGTATTAATTAAGCTCTTAGGATAAATTAACGAGGACAGTTGGGTAATAGGGGTTCAGTACTACAATATTGGAGCTAAAATAATTGCATAATAATCACTGAATGAAATTATAAAGGAAAGTAAAATCTATTTTATAGGTAAAGCATTGTAGTGATGGAATATAAAAATTTAAAAAAATAATAATAACTGTTAATATGTAGGGAAAGAAATTGTAAAAACTAAAACAAAAAAATATATAAAAAAACAAATAATGATATACATATGTTCCCTAAGATATTTAAGTGATTATGCGTAAAGATTAGGAGAAGAGAAAATAAAATAAAGTATATATATACACATAGCGAGAAGTATGTTGAAGATAATTAGAAATAAAATACATTTCACTGAAATACATTCCATGAATAACAAATTAGAACTTAAGGAAAACAAATTTTATCTACTCACAATGCTTAGTGAGTGGTGATGAAAATTCACGTTCAACACAGAATAAAACAATAAAAAATAAGAGAAAAAAATAATGTCTAAAGAAAATTAAATCCTTATAACATAGTATGTATTTAACCAGCGTCTGATTGGATTGTGAAGAGGAATTGGAATAAGAGGCTTTTAAAGGTGGCTAAGGATGATGCATGGCGGATTTTTAGTGGGATGGAATTCCAGAATGCAGTGGAACGGACAACAAAGGAATGTTTAAATGATGCAGATCTGTGGAAAGGAGTGTAAAGGTCAGAAGGACGAGATCTTGTGGAGAGGGTGTGGATAGATGATTTGAATTGTAGGAGATTGTATGCGTAGGACGGACGATGACTATTGATTATTTGGTAAAGGAATGTGCCTAGGAAATATTGTCTTCGGAAGGAAGGGAAGAGCCATCCTAATTCAGCATAGTGGTGCGAAACACGGGAATACCTCAGGGCCCCTGTGACAAATCTTACGAAGGCATTCATAATTCTTTTCAGTCTCTCCCCGAGTTCTGCCGAGAGGCCACCGTACACCACGCAGCCGTAATCAAGGTGGGGGAAGATGAGGGAAGTTACTAGGAGTCTACGTGTGGAGATGGGTAGGAGATGGCGGAAGCGATGGAATAGTTTCAAGGTACCAATTGACTGTCGGGTAATGTGAGCAATATGAAAATGAAATGAAATGAAATGAAAAAAATGTTTTATTATTCTGGGACTGTTGTCCCTTAAGAACAAAATATGAATACAGATTATATGTCTGTGTGGCTACAATTGAATTGTATATTTACAATGAAAGTTGACTTACGATAAAAATACAGAAAAGAGAAAAAAAAGAACAAGTAAATTGTACATATGTATGAGAAACTAAAATAACCTTAATAAATTGAGGTACTCTCTGGTGGTGCTCAGATATTTCTCTGAGATATATTTCACATTCATTCGGATTGAGAAAGGAGTAGGTGCTTAAAGAGGAGTGGTTTAAACGAGGAAACTGATTGAGCGTGTCGAATATCAGGTGGGATGGAATTCCAGAGGGAGGCGGCTTGTATTGCAAAGGATTTGTCAAACGCAGCAGTTCGGTGAGGAGGAGGATAGAGGTCGGAAGTACGAGATCTGGTGGGACGGGATTGGATGGAATATTTGAATTGTAAGCTGTGAAAAATGTAGGAGGGTCGATGGGTTCTAATAATTTGGTACAGAAAGGTGGCTAGGAAGTACTGACGGCGATAGGATGGGTAGAGCCACCTCAACTCAGTGTAATACTGGGTAATATGCGTATCCCTTGAGATTCCGAAAACAAATCGTAGTGCGCAATTCATTAGGCGTTTAAGTTTGGCCTCGGAATCTCCCGGGAGTCCACCGTACACCATACAGCCGTAGTCGAAGTGGGGGAAAACAAGGGAGGAAACTAGGAGTTGACGGGACTTATATGGAAGGAGATATCGTAGACGATTGAACTGTTTTAGGGTGGAGATAGTGCGACGGGAAATTTGGGAGATGTGAGGTTTCCAGGATAGGGATTGATCGAAAGTAACACCTAGGTTTTTAACGGTGGTGTAGAATAAGATAGGTGAGTTGTTCAGGAAGAGATTGGGAGATACTGGGGAGGATTTGAGGAGTGAAGGGGATCCGATCAAGATGGCTTTTGTCTTCTCGGCGTTCAGAGTGAGCCTATTGAGGTTTGCCCAAGCACTTATTCTGTCAATATCTTCCTGAAGTTTTTGAGTGGCATCTGAGATATCTGTCGGATTAAAGGAGAGGTAAATTTGAATGTCGTCGGCATACAGGTGGTAATGACAGTGCAGGATAGAGGATGGGAGGTCATTTATATAGATGGAGAAAAGGGTGGGGGATAAGGAAGAGCCTTGTGGGACGCCTCTGGTCAGAGGTAGAGATTCTGATGGTGGGTTATTAGGAATTACAACGTACTGGGAGCGACCGGTTAGGAAGGATTGGAACCAATTAAGGGAACTAGAAGAAAAAGAGATATTTTTAAGTTTGGTTAGGAGGATGTTGTGGTCTACTGAATCAAAAGCTTTGGAGAAGTCTAGGAGAATAAGGATGGTTAGTTTCTGCTGATCTATGGCTGTGTGAAGGTCTTGGGAAATTTTGATTAGGGCAGACTGAGTAGAATAACCAGGCCTGAATCCAGACTGGTTTTTGTGTGTTTCCAGGTGTATGGTGTTTCCAATATGGTGTTTCCAGGATAGGGTTTGGTCTATGAAAATGCCTAGGTTTTTTACTGAGGAGGTGAAGGTAATGGGATGGTCATTTAGGTACAGTATAGGTATGTTGGTATTGGCTCTGAGAAGGGGTTTGGAACCAATGACAATGGCTTGAGTTTTTGCAGCGTTTAACCTTAACCCATTTAAGTTTGCCCAGGCACTGATCCGATTCAAGTCTTCTTGAATTTTGGCATCATGCAACTCTGAGGGATGGAAGGAAAGGTAGATTTGGGAGTCATCGGCGTAAAGGTGATGGGAGCAGTGAAGGATTGAATTATGGATGTCATTGATATAAGAACTAAAAAGGAGGGGAGATATGCTAGAGCCCTGGGCCACTCCTGCGGACAAAGTAAGATAGGAAGACAAGGGTTGATTAGGAATAGCGACAGCTTGTGAGCGTTGGGAAAGGAATGATTGAAACCATAGGATAGAACTATGGGAAAAGGATAATGATTTTAATTTGGAAAAGAGAATGGAGTGGTTGATGGAATCAAAGGCTTTGGAAAAGTCAATGAGTATAAGGACGGTTAGTTTTTTGTCATCAATGGCGGACTGAACATCATTAATGATTTTGATTAGGGCGGATTGTGTGGAATAACCTGGTCGGAAACCAGATTGGTAAAAGTCAAGTTGATTGGACTGTTCAAGGAAGGTGGAAACTTGGGATTGTACAATTCTCTCCAGGGGTTTGGAAAGGTTAGAAAGGATTGAGATTGGCCGGAAATCTTCAGGGGAAGACGGATTAGAATTTTTATTTAAAGGACGGACTGTGGCTTTTTTCCACAAGGAAGGGAATACTGAATTTTGAAGGGAAAAATTGTAGATGAAAAGGAGTACCGGAAGGATTTCAGGGAGGCATAATTTAATTAATTTGACAGGAATGCCATCTGGACCAATAGAATTAGAGTGTGATTTCATCACGGCGGATATGAGGTCTGTGGGAGAAATATCTGAAAAATAAAAATCGGCGTCATTGAAAGATGTTTCAGGAGGAAGGAAGGAAGGGAGAAATGAAGGAGTTGAAGAGGAAGCAGATATAAAATAAGAATTTAAGTCATTTGATGACACTGGGGGCACTGCAGAGGGAGGAGATCTGGTAGGATCACAAAGAGAGAGTTTACGAAGGAGTAGCCATTTGGATTTGGAATCAGGAGCTGAGGAAAGGGCTTCATGGAAATAGGTAGATTTGGCTCGTCGGATTGTGGATTGTGTCAGGTTGCGGAGCGCCCTGAACGCTTGATAGTCGTCAGGCAATCTAGTGCGTCTAAAGCGTCTCCGGGCTGCATCACGCCTCTTCTGAAGATCCTTAATTTTCTGACACATCCAGGGAGCAGGAAGGCGACGAAAGGTGGAGGTTTTGAGAGGGGCATGGTCATCAAGGATATTAATAAGATTGGAGGTGAGAATGTCAACCATGGAATCAATTGAGGTACAGGAATATATTATATTCCAATCTAGGGATTCTAGGGAAGGTAAGATTTTTTCCCGAGTAAGGCCATTGAGGTTCCGGAAAGTTACCATTCTCAGTAGGATCGGAGGGGTTTGGATATTATAGGATATTTGGATTAGGTCATGCGACGATAAAAAAGAAACTGGTAATTGGGAAGAGGAAAGGAGGTTTTGAGCGGAATCAATAATGTACAGGTCCAACCAAGTGTCGGTTGGACCTTGCGGTGTGATGCCTAGCAGAAAAAGGAACGATAAAAAGATGAAGGGAGAAAAAAAGGTTTTCTAGGTATGATTTGTCGCTGGAGTCGGAGAGGAAATTGGTGTTTAAGTCACCGGAAATGATAATTTTGGAATAAAGGGGCACAAAGTTAAAGAGGGAAGCTTCGAAAGACGGGTCAAACGGAACAAGAGGAGGACAATATGCCACGGAATAGAGGAGATGAGAGGTGTTACAGGAGATTTCGACAATCAAGAACTCGACTTGTGGCTGATCGGTTGGAGAAGAACGATGGAGAATTCGGGTCTTTAGGCTGGTATGAACGTACAGAGCTACACCTCCGCCAGTCCGGCTGTCCCGGTCGTGGCGGATTAGGGTGTAGTTAGGAAGGGAGACTGAAGAGGAGGGGATGTAGGGCTTGAGCCAGGTTTCGGAAATTGCGATGATGTGGTAAAAGTTTTGGGTAAAATATTCTAGGTATTCATCGTAATGGGCTGGAAGGGATTGGGAGTTGACGTGGCAGGAAGTTAGGACACTAGACATGAGTAGGATTTCGGAGAGGACATTCGGTATTTGATGGAAAGACGCTGAAAAAGATTAAATACATTAGATGACGTGAAGAAAAAATAAAGTAGAAAAAAGTATATAAATAATAAGTTAATAAATAGCCTTGATAATATAATGTAAAATAAAAGATTTCCGATGAAGGTCCGGTGAGTGTGCCAAAATGTTCGTAGATGCTTGATGGACTACCCATAATCCTTCATGGGTTGTTATTGGTACAGGTTTATTTAAACAAGTATTGTAATATAAAAGTAGATAATTTATAAAAAACCAAATGAATTAATAAATAATGAATTCCAGGATGCAATCAAATCTTTTTTTACTCAAAATTACAAAATTGTTACTTACAATATCTTTGCGATTTACCATCTATATCATCATTTTATGTTGTTCATACATATATAACCAGCGCAACAAACCAATAACGGATCTAGGCTTCCTCGAGCAGCCTCTTGGACGGCTCTATCTTGTTCTGCAATTACCCAGTTCTGTGTTTTCAGCAATTTCCTTGCATTCACTTCCATACCATCCAGGTATCTTGCCCTAGGTCCCCCCAATATCCTTGCTTGGTGAAGCACTTTAGTCATTACTTTCCTTGGAATCTCAGATACTCCCATCCTAGCAACATGACTGGCCCTAATTCGTCCCAGCTTTATACCTTTTGATGTCATCCTTAAAGGCATTATAAAGCACTCTATTCTTTCTTCTCTCTCTCTCTCTCTCTCTCTCTCTCTCTCTCTCTCTCTCTCTCTCTCTCTCTCTCTCTCTCTCTCTCTCTCTCTCTCTCTCTCTCTCTCTCTCTCTCTCTTTCTCTTTCTCTCTCTCTCTCTCTCTCTCTCTCTCTCTCTCTCTCTCTTGCTCCTCCAAATATTCTCTTTAGCAAATGTTTCTGGAATATCAGTTACCTGTTTTTGTCTGGCATGGTGATTGCTATTCATAGGTGAGTACTGGACATACCAGAGGTAGGTTGTAGGACTAGAGGAAATGTTCTTGCTCTTTAAATGCTTGGACAGGCCAAGGAAGCATTTATTGGCAACTTTGATCCACCTGCTGACACCCTGTGATACCTCATTCACCTCAGATCTGAAACTTAGAGGGGCTTATGTTCAGAAATGCAATGTGGTCTCCACAACCACCAGCTGGCATATATTTAGTTTTTTGGTAATTCACTGCGAGACCAAATTCCCTGGTAGCTGTTTCAAAAACAATGAATGCCTTCTTCAATACCCATTCTGACTTAGTCTAGCCACAATTTCAACGCGATCAGTGTATTTTCTATCAGCTGTACAGTTCTATTAAAGATGGTTCCTGTAATCTGAATTTTTTATTTTCAGACAGCCATTCCTAAAGCCAGATCGAATAGGAGACAAGCAAGGGTGTCTCCTTGTCTTACTCCGCTGCTTATTTCCCTAAAATCACTGTTAGGTGTGATAGAAGTGCAAGCATGATGATCCTATTCTTTGGTGAGCAGTTATTTGAAATGCCTCACCCATCTTCACAGGATTTGAACCTTCTGAATGATGATTTTTCCACCTCGGTTCTACAAAGAGGATCTTACACGGTCATTTGGAATTGCATTCTGAGGCACTAATGACGGTCTGAATGATCGTGTAAGGTAGTGAATGAAGTACTGATGGACTTGTCTGGTGGATTTCCAAAAATCCAGAAATCAAAGGTTCATTCACAAAAAGAGGAGGGGAGACTAACCATACTACTAGATAGATTAGTTTGCATAGGGCTCTCAACCATTGTACATTCCCGATTTTTAAGTAAATAATTTCATAAAAGTAAATAGTTTTTTTATATCCCTAGTTTATATTTTCAACTATTTTTTCTTTAAAAAGAGGGATTGGAGTAGCTCAGTGCTATGGTACTGAGCTTCCAATGCTAAAGAACTCAGGTTCGAACCCCGGCTCATGGCAGAAAATTTATTTATTCTCTTTCTTTGGCCTTGGGGCGACCCTGGGTCTGGAGACCCACCTGGGACATACCCAGCCTCTATAAAGTGGGAACCCTTAATTAAATAATTTATTAAGGGGGAAAACCTGGTGGTTGAGCATGATCTCGGTCATATCACCTTGCACAACCGTTGATCTAGAAGCAGTGATTTCCCTTTCCCTAAATAGTACTGAACCCAAGGCCCTTCATGGGTTGTAGTGGTATAGGTTTTTTTTTCTTTAAATAGTCAAGTGGGCAATAAATTAAAAAAAAGAAAGTGGAAACTTCACAATTTATTTATTTACTTTTTTCTGATTTTTGATTATTTTCGCTTTGCTTTTCCTTAATTTTTGTAAATAGTTGACTTATGTTTTTCTAACTTTGGTCTAAACAATTTTCAGGTACTAAGAAGTAATTTCCATTTTTCTCTTGATGTCCAATACTATAAAGGACAATGTCCAAATAATCTTTTTAAATTAAAAATAGGTAGGGGTTCATCATGAACAAAGCTACCCCGATCAATCTTTGTCATTCTTGTGACTTTCGGAGAGAATCTTTCATCATGAACACTTTTGATCTTCTTGGGCTCCCTTCTTTTACATATGGATTAGTTTCTACTCTTACCATATACCTGAGCTGACTTTCTAGTGTGACAATGCATTATTTTTATATATACCTCATTCTTTCAACATGCTAACTGTAGCAATTCTTTGCAGAAACATGGTGATCTAGGGGGGCCTAACCTAAGATTCTCTCAGCCGCAGCATTGAGTTCTTCAGAGCATTTTTTCCATTATTCTTTAATGCTATCAGCAGATGAATTCATCCTTTTACCGAATTTTTCTTTGAGGCTGTTCTGAAACACAGTATAGACTTCTGCCTCCTTCAGTTTGCCAATGCTATATATAATTTCTGTTGTAATATATTATTATTTATTTATTGATTTTGACAGATTCTAGACTTAAGGGATAAAATATATTTTATAAAACATTCTATTAATAATAAAAGTCATAGGTGTCTACTGGGCTTATAAGGAGAGAGAAACACTTTATTTTCATATAAAATATAAAAGTATCCCATTGGAGCTCTGCAAAAGGTATTTGAAGCTTATCCCCATGAGAACTTCAAAGTAGCAACAATTTCCTATTTCTATTCTCTCAAATTTTTTTTAAGAGCACATTTTTTCAGTGACAAGTTTACCAAGATATTTAAACGTCTCACAAACCGGGAAACTATGACCATTGATATTAAAGTAGCTCTAGTCCTGCGTGATTTTCATCTACTCCCTCTTCGACTCATAAACTTTCATTTGTCTCTCATTTCAACATTTTTTGTTTGTTCTTTATACTTCTGGCAACACTTGAAGTATCTTTGATATCAATTTGGATAGGCCAATACCTATGTATGTCTATTAGATGGTGCCACCAGGATTGGTCTTATTCCTGGCACTATGCCCTCCAATTCATTAGTATATTTTTCGGAAGGGAAATAGATATTTGATATCACTCATGAAGAAAATCTTATTCCCTCTAAGGTTTCATTATTTGCTCTCCCTTAAAGTTATTAAGTGGATGTGTTTTAAGATCCCACTTTGTCATAGTTTTATTGTTACAGATAAATTAAAGCCATCTATTTTTAAATATTGTGCAGATAAATTTTGGCTCACATATTATTCATTAAAATATGAAAGTCACCATTGTTCTTTACAAAAGCCATAATAATTCCAATTGACTACCCTAGGGCATCTTTAGAGGAAGGCAAGGTTGACAGCTGCCCACCAACCCACCATGGAAAAAAAATTAAGATAAAGCAGCATTATATATATAAAACGGATTTCTAAAAAAAATATTTACAGCTACAGGTTGGCTGTTTTTTTTTTCAACATATTTACAAAAAAAACTAACTAAGCCTTTAAACTAACGGCTCCCCTTTTAGTAATTGTTTTATTAACTGTCCCTCTCCCTTCTGGCTCAATTGAATTGTGAGTGTCTATCGAATGACCTTGAAAATGCCACTATTATTTTTTATTCATTGAGTCAGAACTCTTTTTAATCCTCTCAGTAACATTTGCTCCCGGGTCTAGTGTACCCTTTTCTCCAAGACACATCCATGTAAGGATCACAAAAAACAAAATGATCTAAAATTATATATATGTACTAATAAAACTAATTATTTTTGTTTCAAGGAATACTTGGATTTAAGTTTACCTCAATTGGCAACACCTCCATCCAGCCTTGAATCCAGCATAGAACAGTTCCCTTATCTTCTTTGAGTTACCTGTAATATTGATGGGTTATAAGTACAAATCATCCCTAAGTTATTTTTATTTCTTTGTAATCTACAAGATTAATGTATTTATACTAGTTTAATTCCATTTGTATAAACAGTCTGTAAGTTGTAAATTTTGTTATTTAAAGAAAATTCTTCTTTACTGTAAATACATCTTGTATATTTTATAAATAGTTGTAGCCATTTATTATTATTGTCTTTAAATGTGATCATTTAGAATTATTTTTTATTTTTGTCATTGTTGTACTTAATAAATAAAAGTCATTGAATTAATTTTAATAATGGAAATGATACGTAATAACCTTTCATGTTCTAAAAATATGGTGCATGACATCACACAACTTTCACTTACCACCCTACTTTCAGTAGAAATTGATTGTTTTAAAAGTTAATTAACATTAAGACTATTACTTGAAATATAAATACAACCTTATGAAAACAAATATAAATTATGTGGACTGTATATTCTTGGTGTCAAGCTGAAAATAAATTTTAGTTTTCTATTTATTTTCCATGAAAATTCCATTAAGTTTCCATGGAACATTCATTTTTCTAACAATAATAGAAGTGGACATCATTAACTACAGCGATTAAAAGTCATTAGTTTTCGTAACTCTTCATTACGTTTGATGATTTAATATTTTAAAATCTTTAGCTTTCCAATGGTGTATTATACAAACACACTATTGCTGTTATTTCTGGAAATTTGTTTTGAACTTGTGAAAATATTACTTCTATTTTCTCCTTTACTATTAACTACTATTGTCAAATTCTTTCATAATTCTTATTTATCCATTTGGCATTACTACTGACAGTGAGAGACCTTTAATTATTTCAAATAATCAGAATTATGTAATCGAAATTTGGAGGAAATTTTGAAAATTCAGTATTTGAGCCCTGTTGAAGTATTTAAATGAGGAGAGAATATAACTGATATTAAAGGTCAATAAATTTTACATCAATGTAATGAGTTTAGTCAAAATCCTTTGAGTTGTTTTCAAGAAAACTATAAAATCTCATAAACTTATTGATGATAAGAAGTGGCATTTCAGGTAAGTCGATTAGTAAAAAATTTACTATAAAATCCTAATTATATATTTATCTTAAATATGGAATTTTAGTATTGTATATGTTTTTGTTTTTGATCTATGCTGTTCATGTACCACACACACACGAGTGCACACGCACACACATATACTCACACAACTGGACATTGGAGAATCCTATTCTCGGAATAGGTGATAACTGTTGAGTGTATGGACTATCCCTATATGTCTGATTTCTCACTCATCAATGAAAAAGAAGTCAGGGATATAACTTCAGACCTACAACCTGGTAAGGCAACTCGATTGGACGAAATTCCAAATGTCACTCTCAAAAAATTCTCAAGGTGGCTCTCAAAAACCAGCCAGACCTTTTAAAGGATCTTTTTAATTCCTGCCTCCATGCTGTTATTTCTGGAAATTTGTTTTGAACTTGTGAAAATATTACTTCTATTTTCTCCTTTACTATTAACTACTATTGTCAAATTCTTTCATAATTCTTATTTATCCATTTGGCATTACTACTGACAGTGAGAGACCTTTAATTATTTCAAATAATCAGAATTATGTAATCGAAATTTGGAGGAAATTTTGAAAATTCAGTATTTGAGCCCTGTTAAAGTAGTTAAATGAAGGTTCATTCCCAATACCCTGGAAGAGACAGCATCTTCAACTGATACTGAAGGGTAAAGGAAATTCAGAGGACCCATTGACTTATCATCCAATCTGTCTGCTAGACACTATAGGAAAAGAATTTGAGAAAATCATTTTTCTCAGATTACGAGAATTTACTGAGTCTAAATGATCTGTGAAAAGCACAATATGGATTTCAGAAAGAGCGATCTACTGTGGATGCTATTAGACTTGTGACCCATATTTTCTGCAAAGAAATTGCAGGAGTAGGATGGAGGAGGGGTGAAAACTGTTATGCAGTAATCATCATTCTAGATGTCAAAAATGTTTTTAACATGGCCAGATGGGCCTCTATATTGGATGCTCTATGAACTATGGCTGTGCCTGTTCATCTTATTAGGGTTATCACAGATAACTTCTAGGATATAATTCTGTTTCATGATTCAGATATCTGGTGTCCCACAGGGTTCCGTCTTAAGACCTCTCCTAAGGAACATCATATATGATGAGATTTCTAGGCTGCCATTGCTAGAAGGAGCTACAGTTGTAGGCTTCGCAGATGATGTTCCAGTGGTGGTAGTGGCGAAGTATGTTGAAATAGTTACCATGATTATTAATCAAGCTGTTGCTGCTATCCGAGGTTGGTTGTCTTATGTAGACCTCCAACTTACCGATCACAAGACTGAGGTAGTCTTTATCACTGGCAGAAACAAAATGGAGGCTATCACTGTCACAGTTGGTAGAAATAAGACTGGTGCTCAGCCATATCTGAAATATCAGTGAGTCCTCATGATGGACATCTCAGATTTAATGCTCACATGGAGTATATCATATCAGAGCTAAACTCTATATAGTCATGTCCTTAATGTCATGCCTTATGCCGAATGTAGGAGGCTCCAAAAGGCATCTAGCAACTGTTATATCTTTGATTCTCTTACTCTTAATACGTAGTTCCGATTTGGAAAGACCCAATACTCATAGGAACACGTTGAAGATAAGATGGTCTCGGTGTATCTCAGAACTTTAATAAAGCTAGCTAGTGCATTTCGGACTGTAACCTATGAAGCAGCATGTGTAAAGGCGGAATTCCACTGAGGCAACACTGAACGACATGTTGCTTGATACATGTTTCCTCGTGTTGCCTATTGTAGCCGTCCGACTATGTGGCACAAAATTCAATCAGTGTGGCATGCGGAATTTGTTGTATAATTTAATATTTTACGCTTACAGAGTAGTGGAAAATTCATTTTAGTCTGAGAGTCTGTGAGAAAAAATCAACATTATTTGATTAAAACTTTAAAAGAATTTTTAAAAAATGAGTCTGCCAGTCGGATATTGCTACCTGTAAAAATTATTACTAGCTGATGCAAAGAATATTAGACCAGTAACTTGAGGGTCGAAATGGAAATTCATTGCAAAAAATGTGAGAAAAGTTTTTTATTCATTAACTTGTATATAAGGATTCAGAGGTGTAAAAAATTTCATGAAGAAATAATGAATCCCGATTCGAGAAATATAATTGATCTATATTAAAACTGTTCAGTGGACGCGGAATTTGATGCTCCATAACTTTAATTATATGAGTTTTTCTCTTTGAGAACTCATTCCCAAGCTGCAGCGCCATTTAAAGTAATTTGTCTGTTTTCCACGAATTTGGTAAAAATCGACGTTCGTTAACTTTGGTTAACGAACATACCACTTAATCAAATTACTAAGTTTAGGTACTCGTTCGGCGCACAATTTAACTTCATTTAATTTATGAAAGAAAAGGTTTTTCGCTTTGTTGCACCGTTTAGGAACTATATGTGAAAAAACAAAAAAGGTCGAAATAATCTAGCTTTTTCGGCTAGAAAAAGTTTTTCCTTGGTGGTCTGCGTCAGCAATTTTGTTTTTACACGTCTCAACCAATATATACAAGTTAAAAAAATAAAAACTTTTCTCACATTTTTCACAATGAATTTCTTGTTTCAATCCTCAAGTTAATGGTCCAATATTCATTAAATCAGTCGCCATTTTTACAGGAAGTAAGATCCGATTGGCAAACTCATTTTTTAAATAAAGATGTTATAAATATTCAAATAATGCTTTTAAAATTTTCATCAAATAATGTAAATCTTTTCTCATGGGCTCTCGGACTATTTGGGTTGGTAGCAAGTGTATCTGAGTCATCACTGATCTTCATCATCGTGTCATCAACTAAACACTCAGCAGTTTAAAATATTGAATTGCGTACATCGACGTCCAATAAAAAAATCAGAAGCTCATAAGCAAACCATTTCCCCCTTTTCTATGAGATGAGCCATTCTTTTCTTGCTGAAGTTTTTCGCAATGAAATGCTGAAAAATTCTTAATTAATTTTTACCTCTATCACCGTACAATTATATTTCCTTATTTAAATAATTTAATGATTAATAAATAAACCAATTATTTTTACTTGCATCACCGTACAATAATTATATTTATCTAATAATTGTTTCAACTTATCGTTTTTAATTCTTATATCTTTGTATTAGGTGACTTTATTATTCCATAATTCGGTAGAATTATGGTAATCATCAATAAAAGACTTGGTTTTTTCGTTCGTCCACCCCATGTTGCCCGCAACAAACCGCACCGATCCGATGGATCTTGGATAGACGGCGACACTGTTCGACACGTTAAATCATGTGGAGAGATGACGCATTCGACAGGCATTAACGGTCAACTTGTAGCATGCGGCAAGGAGACATATTTTTTGTCGCTTTGTGTTCCTTCTTTGGAAAGACTGTGTACAGCATGTGTCAATGCCGCATGCTTCATGTTGCCTCAGTGGAATTCCGCCTTAATAGCTAGCATGCCTCCTGTTGAACTGCTAGCTGATTAGAGAAGCAAATTCTATAGTAGAATTTCTAGAGGCTCGAGGGAAGAAAAACGGAAAATAACCATAAACTGTTGGCAACAGCGCTGGGATTCGGCTAATACTGGAAAATGGACGAACAGATTAGTATCCAATATTAGCTCATAGTATGGTCGTCAACAGGTGGACAGCATGACCAAACAACTTTTTGGATACATATTTATTTAAATACATAAATATAAACAGAAACTATATACTAGAAGATATGGATAAAGTTTAAAAAAATTCACCTCTAAATTTTTAGAAGTTGAAGGAACCAGGACTTGCTCTTCTTCTTTAAGAGGCAGAATCAATAGAATTACGTAAATAAAGCGAGAATGAAGATGCTCAATAGGAGAAAGAGAGCAACTATGAAGGAGTATGCACAGAAAATAAAAATAATAAGAACACTTTTAGCATTTGAGCAAGGATGCTAGGAAGGAAGGAGGTTGGAAAAGATAATGATAATTTCTCGTCAAAGAGAAAAGGAAATTTTTACAAGAAAATTAGACATCTTAAATCAGGAATTACATCCTGACTGGAATTATATTAGATAGAATAGTATTGATAAATGGGCTGACCATTTTCAAGAACTCAGAGTTTTAAATCACCGAGTAAACATGCATTATGAACCGACAGAAAGACTACCCCTCAAACCCAATCGCAAGACAAGACAAATGATAAACCCACACCAGAGAAGGAAAAGATTGTCGAGATACTATGCAATAACAAAAAAAAAAACAAAAAAAACGCACCAATCAGTTAAAAGGAAAGTTACTCAGGTTTGGCAGTGGTGGTGTGACTGATGAGAGATACAGCTAAACAGATGCATCATGAATGGAGCACCCTACTGCTATGTCCAACAACCAAAGCATGCAGCAGTGAAAGAAATATAGCTATCCTTATTATTGTTCATAAAGAACAATCATTGATGATACACAAAAGAATGCTTATGTGG